TTAGGGAAGGCTCCGTTTTTAGGGCGGGAAGTGCCAATTGACTTCCAGCCGCCCTTCTGTTCATTGTCAACTGCGAATGTCGCCGCTCCAGGTCGCTGTCCTTTTCTTTGACTCGGGTCGAAGCTCGCTTTTGGCGCAACCTTATATTTTTTCGCTAAGGCTGCTTTCTCTACCTCCGCAACGATCCAGTTCGAAGCTCGGTGTAGGGCGTCCTGAATGTTGGAAGGCCTGTTGACCGTCAGCTCCTCTCTGAATCGGGATTCGTGCCAGAGCCCGTTCTTAAGGGCGGACAAAGCAGCGGAATCGGAGAGCCCCAAAATCTGCACCATTATTTCTTTGAATTTATTGACATACGAACGGAGTGAATCGCTGGGACCTTGGCTAAGATTCCATAGCTGAGCATCAGTAATTCCTACTCCGATGAAACTGGAGTACTGCTTGATGAAAGTGGTTGAGAACTGGGTGAAACCATTCACCGACCCCTCACTTAGTGAAGCGAACCAACGGAGAGCTGGTCCTTGGAGTGTTTCTGCGAACAATTTGCAGTACCCTGTGTCTTCCTCATGTGGCTCTAAGTCCACCCGGCTTGCTGTGAGCAGGAACGTCTGAAGGTGGACCTTGGGGTCTCCCCTCCCTTCATAACTCTGGAATTTGACTTTCCGAGTATCCTTGAGTCTGGCCATCGAGATCCGGGGTGAGAACGGGGTCTTCTTTGACTTCTCGATCACCCGATCTACGTCATGTGCCGCGCTCGTAGTATTATGTACTTTGGACTGCATAGCCCGAATCTCGTTCTGAAGGAGGGTTATTTCGGGGTTCACCGTGGTGACTACCCCCCGACAAAGTGGAGTTCGGATACCGCTGGGTGCTGAATCCCCGCCCCCCTGCTGCAGCGCTTCCTGGACCGGAGTGGAGGGATCACCCCACTCTCCCCCCCAGAGACTGGCAAACTTGCCCCCGACACCGGAGTGGCGTGGCGGCAGAGCTGGGAGGCGTCTGCGGCTGACCACCGACGAACTCCAGCCTACGGGTTAGCGGGGCCGCGGCTAGCGCGTCGACTTGGTCGGCATAGGCGTTGTGAGCGCTAGACAGCTCGGTGACGGTAGCTGACAAGGTCGCCAACTGGGCCGTGCATCGGTCGTCAAGGTTACCAACTTTCTCGGTGAGCGACGAGGTGGCCACCTGCTGCTGCTCAGTTTTACCAGCAACCTCCTGCAACAAAGCGTGAATAGACTCGAGATTTACCTGATTTCCTTCAGCTGCCATAGTGCTTAGTGTCGAATTCTTGAGGAAAAGATTTGGAGGCTGCCCCTCCTTCTAGCGCCAAAATGTGGGAGCTGATTCCACCTAAGGTATCTGAAACGTACTTCGGGACTAGTTCGCTTACCCGAGCCCGAACTGGAAATAGCTTTTTATAAATAGAAATAACAAACTAGAAATGATATCCTTTATTAATAGTGAAAATCTTTCGACCCCCTTACAAATGACCCCCTCACCACCTTATATACAGATTCAAGACAATTAATATTGAACGCGATCCTAGCTCCATAAATCCCGCGATTTTCATTATGGCTTTGTTGACCAATCAGTTCGCCCGTTACGATCTCGCCTTAACTGTTCTTTTCGTATCAGTTCGTGGACCGGCTGTAAACAGGCCGGACTTAACTGCATTACTTCCCTTTTTGGGCTTGGACCGTGAAAGGCCCAACTATTTATACGGTGCCAATTATGGTGCCTATAAGGATGTGGCAATCTTTCTCCCTTGAGCTAGCTTTTGGGATTAGTTAGGCCACATTACCAATAGTTCTAGAAAAACCGAGTAGCGAGACAGTGTTCCTAGAGATGGCTCACGTACTAGCCTATTACGTAGCGGAACTGGTGGTTGAGTCGGAAGTGAGAGGAGTTCGCTTCGTAGTTCAAACCTGTGCTAAAGATGATTCATGGAACAAGTTGGATGATCTTCCAACGCTTCTAGTTGTACTGGAAAGTCTCTAAGATTTGTTCTAGATTGCTTGAATCTAAAATAGTAAAATAGATGAAACGATAAATATTGAAAATAGAATCATTTAGAAACTGAAAAAACAATACAAAAACCCTGGCCTGAAACATATTGTAATATCGAAGTGCATCATGATAAAACTTAAAAAGTGAATGAATATCAAATGTTAACCTATTTTTGTTGATATTTCTTGTTTGGGCAGCTGTTGTTCGATGAATAATATATATGTTATTCTCTCTCTCTTCTTTCTGGTCAACACAAATGTCTCAGAAACTATTTTGTCCCTTTGTTTCTGTTTTCTTCCAAATATTTTATTTTGGACGTACTCCAGTAATGGTCTCTTTGAAAATTTAGCTAATTAAGACATTCTAGAATATGGCCAAATAAAAAAATAACCTACCAGAATTATAAATGTTACAAAATCAGTATTTAGGAACGTGCTCCACTAATTTAAGCAATATATATAAAGTAATGAAACTCAATAAATTTTTTAACCAAGCAAAAATAAGTCCTTAAAAAAAACAAACCAGAAACACACCAAAGTTAAAAAAAATAAAATAAAATAACGTCCATCCGCTACCTCTCCGACTCGCCTCTCCGTCATCGCCTCTTATGGCTTCCTCCAACAACACCCCATTACTAGTATAATTTGGGATTGTCCTGTACCTCTGCATTTTGATTATGTCCCGTCCTCGTATCAGTTGGATCTAGATTATGTCTTGTCCTCTTTATTACCATCTCATGTTTTAAATAATGTCCCCAAGTACTACCATCTTGCATTTAGAGAGTATAGACTATGTCCTTCTTATGCTTCTTCGTTCTTGGTTCTTGGTAGTTACAAATGTCCCCTCCCGCCATTATCTCACTTTCCATTTTAAAAATAGATCCAACCAAACCCAAACAATAACAATATTTGCACAAAACTGGATTTTACAGGACAATAAGAGACATAAAACTCGAAAAACAATAATATTTCAGATGAATTAAGATATCGTATAAGAAAGGGAGCAGATTTCGTTGGAATTCATTAGAGCCAAGGTGTCAACTTATTCACTCACCCTTTCTCTGATAGCCAGCCTCTCGAAGCTGCAGATCGACGAGCATTTCGTATATACAAATAGGATCAACAACAAAGCTTTGTATCAGCAATAACTGGAAGTAAACATATTTGCTTTTAATCTTTTGTGAACTAGTTACCATAAATAATTCTTACTTTGTCCCCTGTTTCTTCTTTTGCTTGTCTGATGTATATAGTCCTTCAAAACTTGATACGGAGAAACGAACACTAGTTGTACAGTTCAGAAAATGTTCCTAGCAGGGGTGTATCGATACAGTTACTTTCGGGTTTTAAGCTCAAACCGAGCCGAGCCGAGCCGAAACATAATTAATTTCGGGAGAATTTCGAAATCTTAAATAACCGAACTAATTGGCTCCGTTCGGTTAAACCGAAGTCCCAGGCCACTCTATTGAGTTGTTGCAATAAGTTTGTTTGTAATGAAACGCCTCAAACTAGACTAAGTATCCACAGTCTAAAATGTCCATACGGTCATCGCACTCACATGAGACAGACAACAACGCTTGATAAACGAAAAGAAGATGAATCCACTTGATTTGGAACAATCCTTACGTCTACAAAGAGTTCTCCAAGCAAGGGTTGACACTTAAACAGAGTTCTTCTCTGAAAATAAATAACGTAGATGAAACTTTTTACTATATAGGCTTTTATTTTGATACAAGATAAAATGATCCGGTGCCAATATTGAGGATATCAAGTCCGGTCAAAGTGAGTTGACTCTAAGGATTGGATCATAATCATCATGACATGAGAGATTCAAATGTCTTTCCGTTCACCGACTCTTATGACTTTTCCTACCATACACACTTAAGGCGCCATACGTGGCTTTTATTTCATTTTCAAGATATTACCAATGTCTTTGTCGATCTAAGCCAAGAATATTTTACCATTGGCCAATATTACCAATGTCGTGTGTACAATTAATATCTAACTTCAACGAAACAATGATGTCCATGACAATTAACAAATTAAAAGTTTTCCAAGTTCTCTTTAATTTGATTACTTCACGATATCGTGTATCAAAACTTATATACTAGTGGGCAAAAAAGATAAAAAAGAATATGGTCAAGCGTTACATTTGCTTTTGAAAGTCATGCATGCTATAGCAAAAATTTATAGTCCTCACACACTAATTTTCTTATTTTATACTCTTTTAATTCAATGGTTAATACAACATAAGATGAGTTTGGTACTTTTTTGGTAGGGCATGCAAATAAAATAATGAAGGGAGGAATCAAGAACGGGGAGACTGAACTCTGAAGTCTTACGGAACGGTGTTAACAAACATTTAATGATTCCGTACAGACCAGACCACGAGGTAGTTGACATGTACTGTATGCGAAAATAATCTACTCTAGATAATGACAATTTCTTCACTTCTTTTTTGTGTCGGTACGTCTCAAATATCTATGTATACAACTAAGCTAACTACAAGTATTTATCGTTGACCACTGTAATATATATACAACAAACCCAACATCAACATGTACATGTGATTCTTCAAGATGTCTCAAGTTTAGTGCAAAACCTAAATAATCAAAGTCCTTTTTGGTTTTGGTAACTTTACTTGTGCAATACACATGTTTACCATTTGATGAATTAGTATATTTCGTCTAAACAAAGAAAACAGAGAAATCAATTATATACATTGAAAAAGGAAAGAGGTGTGAAGTTACACTTTTTGGGCTGCAGAAGCGTGTTCTATAAGAGGCCCCACGATTCTGAGGGAGAGCAAAGATAGAGAACAGCTGAAACACACATATGAGGAACTGCATTAAATGTTGTGATCAAGAAATCTCTCGGAAACATCCTAACCATGAGTGTCGACATCAGCGTCAAAGTATAAAAACTCCAGACTCTCTATAACCAAACACAATGCAGTAACTCCAACCAGAGCTTTACTAATCTACTGTTGACGTTTTGAGAATGTGCAAAAACTTCAAGATTGTCGTGAGAAAGCTACAAACTTGCTGCTTGTTCACTAGATTCTCCAAAAGGGTAGGGCATTGTGGTGAGTTCGAGGAAGAGGGTAATGCGGGTGATGCTGTGTGGATGATCCCAAGTGATGTGAAGGAAGGGCATGTCGCGGTGATTGCTGTTAAAGGAGAGAGAGCTAAGAGGTTTATTTTGGAGCTTGAAGAGTTGAACAAACCTGAGTTTTTGAGGCTGCTAGAGCAGGCAAGGGAGGAGTTCGGGTTCCAACTCAGAGGTCCTCTGACCATTCCCTGCCAGCCGGAAGAAGTACAGAAGATTCTACAGGGATGTAGAGAGTCTTGATTTTAGATTGTAGAGAAACATTGTTAGTTGAAAATTCTTTTCTTACTCAGTTTTTTTTTACCTCTTAAACACTTATTTGGATGAGGGGTTTTCGTAAGCAGCTTGATATTACACACCTTTATTCCAGCTTCAATGGAGCCATTTTCTCCCTAGATTAAGCAATTTTTCTATTGAAGGCAGACATTTGGGTACAAAACTAAACCAGCATTAACCATGACCGATCTATACATTAGTCACTATTTCAGTTATTAGCAAGCATTGCAGACCACACACAGCACTGGTTCCCAAGTACAAGAACACAAAAACCGTAAGGTGGTAATGGTGATCATATCAGATAGATTTTGGTCCTGAGCTTAAAAGAGTGAGTTTCAAATTTTCGATAATGCCATAAGAGATTTGAACAGAGGAGTTTAAACAGTAAAGAGTTGAGTGATTGATCATTACAAAAAGAACTTAAAATCGAAAAGTACTAGAAAGAACAGAACAAAGAAGAGATAGAGCCAAGATTCCACAGAAGTTCCACAAGTATTTGGCATCTCTTCTGATTCACAAGCTGGGGAGCAACACAGAGACTTCTATGGGAAGTAGACAGGCCAGTTGTAATAATACGAGTCCCTGACTTCTTTCGGTATCTTATTCCACTGAGTAACAAAAGAGAAGAACCAAATAAACTTGTGAGCAATGTTACCATTGGTTATATATAACGGAAAAAAAGATCCAGTTCTTAGGCTAAAGTCTGAACCTTGAATTCGTAAGGCTGATTCTTTGCCCTTGCCTTTTTCCAGTGGTACTGCTCAAACAGCATCCACTTGTCATGATAACTGCCATATTTGAGAATACGAGAGAATCGTTACAAACATGCTTATTAAAAATCTACAAGACCTTAAAACACAGTTGATCATACATTACTAACTCTCGTGAATCCAAACATAGCATCAAACAAGTACGGAAATGAACAAGGGGAGGCTATGAAGTATGAAGTTACAGTCTTCAACTCTCCATAGGACCAAACACTCCCTCAACTATAAGATGATATGGAACCAACCTGAGGTTTTTACTTTTTAGCTATGCCTATGATAACAACTTCATCCACTTCGCCAAAAAGACATCCAAGTAATCTATCTAATGTAGCGGAAACTAATAAAACATTAAAGAATCAAAGGCTATACCGAAACTAATTCTCGCTAAAGCAAAGCCATAAAAGAACCAAACACATGAACTAGCTAGGAACCAATTCCGAAAGGATTTTTAATCAAATTTTGATATATGATACATTCGTTTTTAATCAAATTTTGAATCGAAAGGATATTTTTTTTTTTTTTTTTTGAATAATCAAGAAAAAAATAAAAAAGTATATATATGAACAAATATAGTAGAAATATTTTCTCCATCCAAAACTGTAGTTGATATACGTACATATATATGGAATCTGACTGAGCTATAGCTATAGCTATATATATATATATATAGTGTGTGTAAATGGTTTCCAAAGTATGAATTAACGTAGGATTTATTTTAAGTAAGAGGTTTGTAATGATATTTTTCTGATTAAATTTATATTCTTAGAAAAAAAAAAATTATGACACCATTAATCAATTTTTCTAGCTCCGCCACTGCGTGTTGTTATCCACATACACATTGATCTTGTTAAATGCTATTTCTAGTAGAAGTAAAATCAATTTAGCAGGGTTTAGAAACGAAGTTGCAAGTTATAGACTCAGTGCATATGATACATGATACATAACCTAGGTAAGTCCGTTGAAGTAAATTTAAGCACAATAAGTACTTCAGGTCCTCTTAAATTAATTAGAGTTTGATTTTTCCTATAGGCCAACTTAATTAATTTACTGAATATACCTACCATTTGGTCATCGGGATATAATAGAAACCGTACGTCACAATAAAAAGCACTCATTATAAAAAAAAACTGAAAACTTTTTAATAACTTGAGCTAGGGTAGCCGAAAAGTCAACATATAAGAAAGACACTATATGTGGATTTATATATGAATTTTGATGTATATCGATATACTTATAGATAATCTCACTAATGGAAATAAAAACTTGAGGGTACACTGTATAAAGTTATATCACACATATAAGAAAGAATTGTAGATCGATAAGTGATGTAAATGGTGGACTAAACTAATTAAGTCAGGGAACTAGAAATATGGGGGATATACACACGTGGGAAGAGAGGTTATAATTGTAATTTCAAAATATTTTCTATTCCTATTTGGTTTTTGTTTTTGGAATTCCTTTCTCCATAAGGATAAATTAAGAGCGGTGTAGTTACTACACGCACGCACGTATATAAATATGCACATGCACACACAGAGGCAAATAAACCCTCGCAACCGCTCTCTCTCTCTCACGCTCGATTAGGCTTTCTTCTTTTGCTTTTCGTCGTCTACTCACAAATTAAATCTCTATCTATCTATCGTCCGTGGATTATTCATCATGGCTAACGCAAACGAACTCCGTATAATCATCGGAATTATAGGTACATATCTGCTTCCATTACATATATTTTTCTCTTTTACAAACTACATATATATATATATATATATATATATGCTGTGCTGCATGCTTCTAGCTCATGTTAGTTTTTGTTTTGTTTTTCTTGGTATGAATTACTGTATAAATTACTCAAAAAAAAAAAACAACAATAAGAAAACAAGCTTGTTACAATATATATGTTATGGAAGTTTAATCAATCGTTAATCCATTCATAAATACATGCACTAATTAATTTTTGTTGATCTCATGTAATGGCCGATCTCTTTTTAGGTATGAACATATAGATATTCGGATTGATTTTTCATAATTATACTAGGCTCGATCTAGTATAATAATTATACATATGTTTTTTTTTTAATAAAAAAACAAAATTATAATATTAATTATTACATAAGCATGTTCAATGGTGATTTCATTATTAATTATTAACACAATTTTGCTATAGCTACATTACTGACGATATTTCTGTGGCCTGATTCATGTTCATGCAGGGACTGTTATTTCCTCTTTGATCTCCCTCTCACAAATGTAATATCCTTTTTCATCTTTATCGTTTATGTTTTCCTGGAGGAGTTATAATAACATTTGCATTATATATATATATATATATATATATCCACAGGCCAACGTTTATACATATATGGAAGACGAAATCAGTGGAGGATTGTCAACCACAACGCCATTTAGCTATGTTGATGAAATGTAGCTTGTGGTTTTTGTATGGCCTCCCTCTCGTTCAGAACGATAATATTCTCGTCACCATCACCAATGGCATCGGTTTCTTAATCCAAGTTATCTACCTCGTTCTCTTTTTGATCTACTGTGGCGATGAATTACAGGTATATATAATTGTTTGATTTCCTTTTAATGCTTACCTCTAACTCTCGTCATATTGAGTTTTTATAAATATTGTTTCTTGATTTTGATTTTGATTTTGATTTTGTTTTTTTTGTTGTTGTTGTTGTTGTTGATGTGCAGAGCCAGACCATTTGGCATTGCCTTGGGTTTGAGTTTGTCTTTGTGTTTTTTTTCTACGGGGTTACTCTTGGGGTAATTGAAAGCCTACCTTCTAGACATACATTCATTGGTGTTGTCTGCAACGTTTTCACCATTGTTATGTATGCTACATTTGTCATGGTAAGCTAGCTACTTGGAAGACAATTAGTTTTAAACTATATATAAATTCGTTACGGGTTTTAATTAGTTTCATCATATGCGCATGAAAATTATAATAGAAAACAATGGTGGAGAAGCAAAGCTTTAAGTGCATGCCGGATTGGTTGTCCTCCGTTAGTTTCATCAACGCTACAATTTGGACGGCTTACTCTGTTGTCTACAAAATTGATATCTACCTCCTTGTAAGTTTTGTAGTTTTTGTTACCCGCGGTTAACTTAATTTACTGATATAATTTACACCCACCAAAATATATAATATTTGATTTCACGTTTTTGTGTGTTTTCTTTTACTCTAATATTCATTTTGTGTTTATGTGACAGATAAGCAATGGTCTTGAGGCATTGTTGTGTGCTTGGCTATTGATAGTCAATGCTTTACAACACACTACTACGGAGGTGAATTACGCAGGTGCTACAGTGTGAAGTTTCGTGGTTACATACATATATATATACACAATGGTTTTGTTTTTTAATCATTTGTTTTTTGCTTTCGCTTTTGGATATATACCATATAAATAAATAATCATTTAAATTTCTTTTTTCGGTTTATGTGTTTATGGATATAGTCACGGGTTTATTTGTTATCTTACATTAGATAAATTACACGACGCCTTAGACCATATCACCGCTAGAGAAACATATGAAAAATACTTAAAATTAAACTAATAATATAATGAAAATTAAACTAATCAAAGCAACTTATTAATAACTTCAACAAAATTACCCTTACACTAGAAAACCTTATAAAAAGTACTCAATCATTAATACAATAGTTTTATATCAAATTTTAATAAATATTTAAATAATCCAAAATAATAAACCAAGAATTTAAATTACTTATAATACATTATATATATATATATATATATTACATAATACAGAAATTATAAACATATTTTCTTGGTTTCGAGTTTGAGATTACCTTCCCGGGCCTTGATAGCTTCTTCTTCCATCGGATGCAAAACATCTTCTAGCAATGGAACTCCCATTTTGTAGTTCAAGGAGATGCCATAACCTTTGAGGATAAACACTTCCAATTCATATGTGCATTCCAGCAAAGCAACCTACAGATGATGATTGTGTTACATATAACTAGTATAATAGCATAAAATCCATAAGCCCAAAAAATATATCTAAAGATATATAGAAAGTTCCAAAGACATATATTAAGAAAAAAAAAAAAAAAAAGAAAAAAAAAAAAAGAGAATTGGCTACTTGTACCTCTGATGGCGTGAAGAGTTCACAACTTTGATTAGTTATATTAAGCAATGATGCTTCCTGAAATTTTAAGAGCAACTTTAGTATTGTAATTGGTTTGTGACGTGATGTAGAAACAAAAACAAAAAGTTTTCACACCATTACTTTAAAATACGCAACGATCCTCATGTGACCTGCTAAAAAAACAGGTCGAAGCCATCAAGAAAATCTCAAGAGTACGTTGCACAGCTAAGAAGAATGGGAAAGGGTCACGGTACGAGTCCTTCAAATCCATAAGCCTTAAAACTGCAATTGCACTTTCTTTTGGGTATTACATTAAATCTGTCTACCTGTGTGAAAACTGCAGGAGTGTGGCATTTTGATCAAATGCTTCTCCATGAGGGTTAAGGAAGAAGAGCTGCAGCTTTTGATGATGATTCTGATTTGGTGACAACAATCTTCCTTGTGCTATAAGGCACCGTTTCTCCTTTCTTTTCTTTGGTTTTGTGTAACCGAATGCTTTCCTTAATACCGAATAATGTAATGACTCCTAGTATGATAATAAATGCAAGTCCAGTGCTTTAATGCGACTCTTGCCATAGGCTTTACTACAGATTTGGATGTCATAACTGTTACTAAATCAAACATATTTGGATCCTGGAACTCATAATTTTTGGAGTGGAATCGGTGCTCCTAGAACTTTGATTTGTTTAGAAAAAAAAAAAAAAAAAACTTTGGTTTGATTTGGTTTAAATGCCAGTGATTCGTATGCCATAGAGATACCTCGTATGTCAGCGTACGTGTCGTTTATGACATACTGAAACGGCATGAAGTTGGAGAAAAGATAGTCTCTATAACAGAGCCGAAATTGGAGAATACGAAGCGACTGCACACACAAGAAAAAAGAAAAGCTCTTCGTCAATGGAAAATGTTGCAGCTTCCTCACCGGTCAATCCACACTTCTTCCGGCCTCTTCTTCCTGGATTCCACACTCACCTCGTAATCTTTTCTCTCCTTCACTCTCTTTCTCTGATATGCATGAATCTTTTTTTGGTTGATTTCTCCCTCTCTGGGTTTCGTCTGTTGCAGAATATTCCCATGGCTTTCTTCTTAAGGCACATACAAGGAACAACAAATGAGGGCAATGGGGTGGTGAAGCTGAGGTCTTTCGTTTCTGATATAACCTGGCAAGTGAAGATGGACGGTCGGAGACTCACCCAAGGCTGGAAAAAGTTCGCCACCAGCCATGATCTCCGAGTCGGCGACATAGTTGTTTTCAGACATGATGGAGATTTGTTGTTCCATGTCACGTGTTTTGGACCAAGCTAAACCTTCATTCCTGATCATGGAGATCGAAATATGAAACTCTAGTTACAAGCTAAACCTTAGTCCGGTTTCTTCTACTTGCGGATCATGTCAAAAACCACAAGATTATCCTATCTCCTCCCTTTTCACTTCCTGGTTTTGAATTTGAAGCAACTGTTTATAGATGACTAGAAATCACAGAAAAGATCGAGAAGTTACTGACTTGTAGTGAGTTGGAGACATGGTAGCAAAGAAAACCCTTGTCTTGAGTGGATCCATATTCTTCTTCACCCATCTAACCATAGTCTTCAGTGCCATTCGATATGCATCTTCACTCTCCATCTCAATTATTCTCTTGTTCTCATCCTTGAAAGAACCTTCCCTTCGAATAACAAACTGAAAAAAACAATCAAATCATAAGTATTGAAGTATACAGGAAAAGATTTGAGAACCTCTTATTAAAAATAATGATGAAGAGTTTTAAATTTCATGATTGGGTACATACAAGATCTTCATTTTGAAGCCAGTCCTCCACCACTAGTATGTGTTGAACACAACTATATCAGCGCCTCGCCAATGCCTACCGTGTTTCTTGATCGAGCCTTTCCTCACAATCCGATCTGATACTCTATGAACAGTCGCGTTATCCGAATTTGATTCTAGAAGAAACGGTGCCCAATAGAACTCAATCGTTGCATTGTAATCCTACATAGCCACACCAGAAAAAGCTATCAGAATCCTAGCAAGCCACTAACCAAAATCCATCCTTTTATCATATCATAGCAAGAAATTTTAGAATCCAAGCTTAAACATTGTCATTCTCAAACTCAGATCTCTATGAACTGTATTTGTATTCCATGGATTCCACAAGACTTTCTAAATCTGAACCAATAAAGGCTAAAGAACTAAGTCTCATTGATTGAATCCAAAATACCTTGAGAGAGAAGACGGTGAGGGAGCCAAACGTATCCATGGACTTGGATTTTTCTAGGATTCGTGAATGAAGAAGACAGATCAGAGAAACATACATTCCTCTGTTCAACGAATCTCCAACAAACATCATCTTCTTCCCTCTTAAGCTCTCTAACATCACCGTCGCATTAAACCTACACCGCATTCAACAGCCACAGAGCAAACACGATCTGAAGATCAACCACCGAATCGACCTAATCCCCTTCAAAATCGAAATTGAGAGAGAAAGAGAGAGACTAACGAGGGAAGTGAGCATGATTCAGGCTGCCATCTCCATGACTGATAATCACTCACTAGCACGCAGCAAAAAATATACAATGCATCAATATGCTTAATATATTGTGACTTATTGCACAGAAAATAGTCAATAATTAAATCTCCATAGTTGAGGTGATATGCATAGATGAGCCTTCCCCGACGAGATTAAAAAGAGAAACCAACTCATACTAACCTGAAAGTGAGAGCTGAAAGTGAGAGCTCGTGAGGCAGCGACCAATCTGTTGGAATAACGGAACCATGCAACGCTGGAACTCGACAGGCTGTGTTGCCTCAAGAACTTCTTCAAGTTCTCCAAGGAAGAGATTCTCCTTTGCGCAGTTTGTCACGGGCCAATACTTTAACAATCCCCTGATTACTGTATCCGCCAGTTTATAATCTTTTTCCACAAACTGAACGATGCAATAAGATAACTGCTGATGATATACAACAATTGGTTTTGGCTTATGCAATGGAATCAGCACCCTGATTAAGAATAGCTTGTGCTCCTCCTTCATAGGCAACGCAAACCCGTTTATGATACTACCTAAAATCTCCAAGAGTTCCCCAATCCCACTGTGTCTCTCTGTCACATAAATAAACCTATAGAATATGTTGTTGATTGCTTTCCTAATAAAAGGCCTGTGAACCATAAACTTCCCATATATCCTATGAAGAATGGTTTTCAAGCAACTTCAACACAAAAGAATGGTCGATATACCGTTTAGCCACCTTTGTATCCGTGTCAGTAGAAACGACATATCTGAGTAGCAATTCGTACACTAGCTGCAAATGAGGCCAAGAAGGTTCCAAATAAGGTTCCTCTTCCTCAGGATCTGCAGGTTCTTGGCCAGTATTCTCATGTGAAGCTGGAGGGAGACACCGGAAAATATTAACAGAAATCATCTTAATCATTTCTTCCTGACACGACTCTGAGATCTTACTAGATCCAGACTGTATAAAATCAACCAACTCCAACAACGTTTGCCTCTTAATCTCCTTCTCTCTGGCGTTCTTAATCGTGTCAGTGAAATCGAACAGGAAACAGCAATGCTGAAGTTTCCTCAAGAACAAGGATTGCCTCTCTGAAACAGGCACATCTCTGAACAAGGGGAGTGGCTCCACCGAGCCCGTAGGCGGAGGTGGTGGAGTAGCCGCCCCAGGCGACGGAGACGAATTAACCAATGCACCACGAGACGCGTGACTAACAACCACATTGGACCCAGAACCTGGCCTACCCGGATGACCAATACCATAATTAGAAGGTTCATTAGCTTCGGATTTAGAGGGCTTTCGATGCCCACCTTTCATGATTTTCTTAAACATGGCTGACGAGCAGAGAAAATCTAAGCTAAAGAGCTCAGAATTGAACGAAGGACGAATTAGAACCCTGAGTATTCAGATTCGAATCTTCAGATATCAGAGGTAGACTCCACTCTATGCCTCTCTTGGATCAAGCACGGGCTCATCAGTTTTGTAATCCCGCGGATAAATGAACTTGTGGCCTTAGAAATGATACCGGAGAGTGTTACCGGAGATCTGAGGAGGAGGTGGTGAAACTCAGACCATTGGGACTGATAGAAGAGATCTTCTCGGGAGTATACGATTGTTGATCGGACGGCTAAGATTTCCCGGCGATCAATCAAATCAGCTAAAGAAACGAGAAAGAGAGAGATAGCCTGATACAGAGCAAAACATTACAATTTGAGTACCCGTATTTTTTTTTGTTGATCAAAAGTGCCCGTATGTTTTTATTTATTTAACATTTAGCCATTTATTTTGTTTACGATAGATTATCTCTCTTTTATTCCACTACCAACACAAATGTCTAAATATTTATTTTGGGCGTATTCCAGTAACGGTCTCTTTGAAAATTTAGCTAATTAAGACATTCTAGAATATGGCCAAATAAAGAAATAACCTACCAGAATTATAAAGGTTACAAAATCAGTATTTAGGAACGTGCTCAAGCAATATATATAAAGTAACGAAACTCAATCAATATTTTAACCAAGCAAAAATAAGTCCGTAAAAGTAAACAAACCAGAAACACACCAAAGTTAAAAAAAAAAAAACAAAAAAAATTACGCAGTTATTACAATCTGGTAAAAACCAGATTTTTTTATTTAACGAAAGCAGTAAAAAAAAACCCAGAAAATAAAAGGAGGCGGCGCTGCCTTCTTCACCACCGTGTGACGTGAAATAATACTACTCACCGCCGATCGCGAGTGAACCACGCTGCTGTTCAATGTCGTCACCGTCCTCGTCTTGACCTTGCCGAGCAGTGTCACCGTCCTCGTCTTGACCTTGCCGAGCAGTGTCACCGTGCTCCTCTTGACGCGGCTGATTAGTGTTAACGGCGCCTTGGAGCGGGAAATGCAGCGGTGTTAAATCGACGGTATGAACAAACCTGAAGAGTATAGCGTTAAAGGCAGCGACCCCAGCTAAAACCCATTTTAAAGGATTCATATGGTTCATGCCCAGTGATACTGTTACAGCCACGGCCATGATGGCGTCGACGACACCCAATAGATCTGAGCACTTAAAGAGTTTAAGGCAGACGGTCAGATGCAAATGACACAAAATGTAGAAAGAGATGGCAAACCCGTTCCAGATCTTTTCTTTCCTCTCCACATCTCTGGACAAAAAACCGAAACCTACCAACACTCCGAAGAACACCACGCTTTTCACGATCAGGTGAAGTAACGGATATGTTGAAACCCAGCTTACACAGAAAGCGTTAAAACCGGCGATGTTGACACAAACACAGCTCAACGCGAAGATCAAGTATGCACACCCGCATATGATGATCAGAAGGCGCGTGATGGAAGATAGCTCCATTTGCAGAACACAGGCCATGATTCCACCTCCCGAAGCAACCAGGAGGATGTGGAAAAATATTCGATTCAACATGAAACCACCGAGAAAACCACCAATCGAATCCAAAAAGTTCTCAATAGGACCTGCAACACGAGCTATGGCGGGAGGAATCACCTGTGGAGGGTTGGTCGGACCCGTCGGAGCAGGCGCGCTCTGTCGCACCGCCAGACCCGTCGGAGGAGGCGTTCTCTGTGCCATCGTCCGAGTGTTTCACTCTTTCTTCTTTTTGGAGAGATAAAAACTAAAAGAAAAAAGTAAGAGAGAGAGAGTGTGTGACGGAGACGATTTGTTTGTTTTTACTTGTATATGATTCAGTCAGGTACACACGTCACTGTCACTGATACCATCCTAAACAAGTTTACGTATTTAACCCTAGAGTTTTGCTTAGCAGGGTGTTTGAATTATATAACCATTGGAGTAAAATATTTCAAATAAATCCTTCAAATTATAATCACATTCGCACACATCATAGTTCATACGTGTACCATCAATTTTATCCTGATGGAGATACATAAATTGAAAATTGATTTTGGAAAGGGAGATACATAATTTGAAAATAACACCTAAAAGACCAAAATCATCATAAAGGCTAGCTTTAGAGTCACTGCTTTAACCACAAAATAACTCGTGTTGCTTGGTAAAATCAAAGATATGCTTCTGTAAAATATATGAACAAAAATATAATCATATATTTTCCTTTTTGAGGAATAGAGGATAATTTTCTATATTGTAAGAAAAAATATATATATTGTACTAAGTGCTAACTAATATATTGCCATCATTTGCTACTAATATATACTGCATGCATGGCTACTCAGTCAAGCCATCATTTGCTATTATTCTCTTCGTCACTATCTATCTTTTCTTTTCTTATTTCTTATTTTACCTTTTTATCAAATTTGAAGAAGTAATAAGGCAGACATCTTTTGATCGCAACATGCATGCCAACTTTGCTTCTTATTTCCTCATTTTGATATATTTGCATGGCAAATATATCAATTAGCCACCATATATTACAAACAACATCTGCATTAACTCAACGTTTACACGCTTAAAGATTGTCTACCACATTTTCAGTACAGTGTTTGGCCATGGAGATGGCAAAATAGACGTAAGATCACACAGGCCATCAATTTAGTCTGTCTTCCTACTATAAGAACATAGGACGACCTCTTGAATGATGCAAAGAAGACTAAAGACGGTAAGAGATTAGAAGAAACATGTCCATGGAACTTCTAAACATAACTGCAGCAAGCTGATTTCTCAGTTGTAGAAGACGATGAGGCTTTGTTAGCGTCTTGTTTAGTGATCTTGATCCCTTGGGGCTGCAACTCAACAAAGACAGTATTCGATTTTCCTCAGCAATATATACAATTTCATAACCCGAGTATGAAGTAAGTAGTAGATTCCACGTGGTCCTTTACCTCAACTTTTGTATCGGTTTCTGTGAGTCTTTGCTTTATGTCTTTCGCGATAGAAAGGAAAACCTGCTCGACATTCTGGTTTGTTTTTGCACTCTGCAACAGTTTCCAATCACATAGTTTTAAGAAAATGAACTCTTAAAACAAACAGTGAATGAGGAAACAAACATGTTATATGTTTCTCTAACTCACCGTCTCAAAAAATTTGATTCCATACTCATCAGCCAGAGCTTGACCCTTTGATGTTGGGACAGCCGGCAGAAGAAAATGCAGCATCAGTATACTACGACGAAATGTAGACAAAACATGGTCAAGATTGTGAACAGAGAGTACACAGCAAAATTACCCTTTTGCTTTCGTCCATATCGGCTTTGTTACCAACCAATATTTTGTTGACACTATCGAACGCATGCTGCTCAATGTTCTTCATCCAGTTCCTAATGTCTGGAGAAACAATTATTGTTAGTTCCCAAAAGTGAGTTTTAAAGTTATTGTAAAATATAGTTCCTGATACAAAGAAAAGCCAGAGACATACTGTTAAAGGATGACTCGTCTGTTACATCATAGACGAGTAAAATACCCAGAGCTCCTCTGTAATATGCTGCAAGAGAAAAATGGACCACAGAGTTTCAAAGAAATGGCATTACTAACAAGAAAGAAAGTAAATGAACAGACTTGCAATGCTGAGTAGTCATTTATAGAGAAATCAACAGATTCATACACAAAACATAAAGAGTGATTTTCACTTCACAGGCAAGTAAACATATTTAGATTCAGAGCAGAAAGCAGTTAGACCTGTGGTTATAGTTCTAAAACGCTCTTGTCCAGCAGTGTCCCATATCTGCAATTTGATACGCTTAGCATCAAGCTTGACTGTTCTTATCTTGAAATCGATTCTAGAGAAGAAAAGGAACTTTAGACAAAGGTTTTCAACTATGTTAAAGATGAAAACACACAAGAAAACAGCCGGAAGAAAGAAAGACATACCCAATGGTAGTAATGAAACTCGTGGTAAAAGTATCATCGGAGAAACGCAGTAACAAGCAACTTTTGCCCACACCTACACACACAAAAGCGCGAAATGAAAATAAGTAAAAGTGTTCACACCAAAAACTATATAAAGTAACATAGATGACTTCTGCAACTTTATTTTTAACTACTTGCATAATCAAATTTTAAGAAGAAAAAAAACGTTTCCTTAGTACTTCCCAATCTAAGCATATGAAATTTAGATTCTAACATTTCCAATTGAGCCAAATCTTCCAAAAAGGAACTACAATCGATACTTAGATTTCAATAGGGACTTTTTCATCTACTCTGTCGACTAAATAAGACGCAAAGAAGAAGAAAAGATTCAAAATTACAAACCCTAAGTCAGATCGTGAAAAACAGGCAGGACGAAGATTCTCAGATAAAAAATGGAACAGTTCATGAACCTCGTTTTTTCAATTACTTCATAAGAGAGAGAGGCATTAAGCTTACCGCTATCGCCGATGAGGAGGAGCTTGATGAGGTAATCATAGTCCGAACGAGCTCTTGCCGGTGCAACTGCCATCGAAGAAGACAATAGTAATCACTTTTATTATCCTCTTTCTCAACAGGTACTAAAGTAACCACCGAGCTCTTTCCCACCGGAAAATCTTTTCTCGCCGGAAAAATAAATTTTCCTGGAGACAGCCAACGGAGAGAAAGGAAAGGGCAGAAAGAAGAATAGACGTTTATTAGTGGCTGCTCTGTGGCGTTCAAAGCTGCTCATTGGTCGTATCATATTTTATTACTTTTTACTATTTTCTTCTTTATTCCTCAGTTATTCACACTTATATCCCACCAACTTATTAAATTCGCTCAATTTCTCAGTCAAGTCAGTGAGACGTTTGAAATTAATCACAGTTTCTTTAAATAAAGTACATTCTTCTTCACAAATTTTACCATCTTTACCAGTGGTAATTCACAACTTGTATATTTACGGTACGCAAATCAAAAATTGTGGTATGTTTTAAGAGTCATAAAGAAAGTTATGGGGTTTAGTTTAAGGAATAAGAAAGATGCAGGATAGCAAAACTTAAGGTGTGTGTTTATTGGCTAAAGACTATTTGTCTCGCTGTGTGCGACCCAGCAGAGAATCCAATTTCGAACTATGACAAAGTAAAGAGAGTTTGTTCACCTCTAAGGCCTCTCTCTCTATACGCTTAACGAAAACACTCATAATTTCATGATTAAAACAGACACAACCTTCTTAATGCATATGTATCAGATTTGAAAACCTTTGTATATAAAACCACCCAAAAAAAATAGGATTAAGAAAAGTTAACATTTATATAAGTCCTTCCCTAATACTCTTCATTGGCTCGCCAAAACTGGCCGATGGATTCTGCAGACTTCGCAGAGCATCACTAGGATACTGTTGAGTTGTTTATAGCTTCTTCTAAGATCCTCCTAGCATCAGTGTTTAAATCAGCTAACTCACCTGCTGTCTGCATAATCACAACCTAGTTACTATCGCTAATCATGCATACTTCCAAAAGCAAAAGATGGAAGATGTTTTCACATGTTACCTTCCCATAGGAGTTTTCTGTCCTTGGTGATGCACCTGAACCCAGCAAAAACCTAACCACATCAACATGCTCACCTCTTGCTGCATGATGCAGAGGCTGTGACCAAGAAACACTTTGTGATGAATCACAGAATCGAGAAAGAGAGATAGAGGGAATATGACACTTGAAGATGGAGAATACTTACAGTGTCTCCTTCTATATCGGCTGTTTCCATCATTCTCTTCACAGATTCAGGGCCACTAGCTCGGCTAAAAAGAAGCTGTACTATTTCTAAGTATCCTGTGGAGCTCAAGTTAAACAGAAAGAACAATTAAGTCATAGAATGTGACCATGCAGTGAGGCAGAAATATCAAAAGAATGGTATATGGCCATTGACCAACTTTACCTCCAGCACAAGCATCGTGTAGAGGAATTGCTTCATCTTCATCCTTGACTTCCATATTAGCCCCTCTTTCTAGGAGAAGCTGTGGTAATAATCATTTAAACTATTAGTGATTCTTACAAATACATTAGCTATCAGAGAAATGAAAAAGCAAAGAACAGGACAAGTAAAAACAACCTGAACACAAGGTAGGTGGCCATACAGACACGCCAAGTGAAGTGCCGAGTCATTATCCTCAAGAGGCTCATCGACTCTCCCATTCAAATTGTCTATCAAAATCAGAAAAAGGAATATTATTGTCTTTACACATTTCATCTTCTCAAAAACAGCAGAAAATGCAACACACTATTAGGACATAACCACACGATGCAAATCAGATAACATTACTGTTACCGGTAGATAAATGATCTCAACTAATCGAATTTTCATCAGTTGAAAAGAGTGTGCAAAACCTCTGTCAGGTCCATCACAGCGTCAAGGAATACACATAGGCATAAACTACAGTTTTCTCTTATCCTTCCTAACTGAAACTAAGTAAAAAGAGCAAACCAGTGAGGTTGCTGGCTAAGATGGGAGTGAAATGGAAGATGAAGCCCTTAAGGTAGATGGCTTTAGGAGGAAGAGAAGAAAGATGAGACAAAGATAAAACTAGAAGTATCTTCTGCAATGATAGTGGGAAAATTGTGTCGAGGAAACTATACTCTTTTTAGAGAGCTGGTTTTGAAGATGGAAAATCTAGTGGTTCCACAAAAAGCGTGAGGCTTTACGCCCTGACCAGCTAATCACGCAATACGCAATGTCGCAATTGAAGATGAAATGAAAATTGTAAGTTTTTAACCCCAAAAAAAAGATATTGTGTTTTACCTCAAACTCAAAAGATCCAAAAATCACACTCACTCAACTGTTATCTTTTTGGAAATGCAGGAATCAGAAAAACTGTTAATTGTGAGTAGCTATGGTTGCAACTATTGCTAACGATTTCAGGATCACTGTCATTACACTGAGTGACACTACTCATGCAAACTTTTTATGCGATAACAGAATCTGTCAACACATAAATCATGTAAATAATAAAACCTGTTACAGTGTCATGGATCAGCTGAAGAGTTGTTTCCTTTCCTTTATACATATTCAAAAGTCTGCTAATTAAACACTATTAGCTATATAATAAAATGAACTTTTGAATAACACAAGTACTGAGAAAATCCTCTAAGAAACTTTGTTTGCAAATCCAATTTATTTCCTTCGTTTATAAAAGTAAGACAAAGGGACAAAACAAGAAAGCTAAATTGGATTTGAGATGGCTAGTAGTAAGTAGTAACACAAGCTACAAACATCCAGTAGTATTATATAATTCAAATTTTACAAATTTAAAGTGCCTTCCACGGATACAAAAAAATTAGACAGAAGATCACAAACACATTCTTACTACTAACATATTCTCTGATAGTAAATAATAGCTCACTTCTCTCTACTTCTCTGAGCTATCAGAATTTTAACCGATGATTCTCAAATCAAAATCAAATCGAAGAAGATCGATAAAGAAAAATTAATAGTGAACAATTTGATTAAATGAGAACCAAACCAAAAAAAAAAAAAAAACAAAAAAAAAAAGTGAAAGAATAATAATATACCCTTTTGATCGATCTAGGAAGTGATCATATGATCTTCTTCTCCTCCTCCGTCTCGCTCCACCGCTGCTTCTGCTAATCTCTTCCATGTATATTGCTGTTGTTCTTCCACTTCTTTAGATTTCGCTTGTTTCTCTTCATACTGTCTCTGGCACTCTTCAAAGAGTTCATGATCCATTTCCATGAACATTTTCTTGATATTTGCGGTTAGGCCATGAACTGCTTGGTTCCAGTGAGACTGGATGTTCTTCTCCAGTGCAGGATATATGATTAGAAGGATCACGCTTCGGTTCTGCGCGATTAGACCCACGATGTGCTCATTGTTCCACAAGAACAGCGCCCGTTCTGCAACCTGTATCAGATTTTTGAGACTTGTACGTAAATATTTACGCAAACCCCACAAAAAATTACAGAAAATTTCTGAGCAATGGCAAAAATACATAATAGGAAACTTCTGTAGTTGCTAGCAATCAGTGAGAATTAATCACAGACTTGTGATTAGAACCAAGGATATCAAATATGCTCCAGTCTAAACACACAAATGGATATCACATAGAGAAAGATGTTCGTGTCTCCTTTTTCCCACTATACCACAAGTAAAAGCACTGCGCAGTAGAATTCCATGACTCGTGAATAAAGCAAAAGCAACAGTGTCAATGCATTTAGTTTGAAATACTGTATCATGGAAAATAAAGATGATTGAAGAATCCAAGGATTTAATCAGAGTAGTAGCTATCAACAGCATGAGATAACCCATCAACATAATGAGTAGTGCCAACAACATCAAGATAATAATGTAGTGAAATGAAAATGAACAGTGTGGCAAAAATGAAGAAAGCGGCAAAGCAAGGAGAAAATAAAAACAGCATGCATCATAAACTTAATGAAGCACTAAAGTTTATTCGAGTAAAAGTATTGTGCAACGAATTCCAAGACTCGTGAATAGAGCAAAAGCAACAGCGTCAATACATTCAGAGAGTTAATTCGCTCCATGAAGTTTGAAATGACTAATGATGTAAGATCCATGGATTTAATCAGACCAGTAGCTATCAGCAGCATGAGATAATCATTCTAATAATTCTCTCAAATGAAATTTAGACAACATCATTCTAATAATTTTTTGAAAAGAAATTCAGCAGTGTGGCAGAAATGGAGAAAGAAGCAAGCAACAAGTAAAAAACAATTTGCACCATAAACTTGATGAAGCACTAAAGTTGCATTCTTTTCCAGGTGGATGAATCAGACCAAAGTCAAAAGAACTTGACTTGAAGGTGAGAGGAATACAAGACACTAGCACGCAGCAAAAAATATACAATGCATCAATATGCTTAATATATTGTGACTTATTGCACAGAAAATAGTCAATAATTAAATCTCCATAGTTGAGGTGATATGCATAGATGAGCCTTCCCCGACGAGATTAAAAAGAGAAACCAACTCATACTAACCTGAAAGTGAGAGCTGAAAGTGAGAGCTCGTGAGGCAGCGACCAATCTGTTGGAATAACGGAACCATGCAACGCTGGAACTCGACAGGCTGTGTTGCCTCAAGAACTTCTTCAAGTTCTCCAAGGAAGAGATTCTCCTTTGCGCAGTTTGTCACGGGCCAATACTTTAACAATCCCCTGATTACTGTATCCGCCAGTTTATAATCTTTTTCCACAAACTGAACGATGCAATAAGATAACTGCTGATGATATACAACAATTGGTTTTGGCTTATGCAATGGAATCAGCACCCTGATTAAGAATAGCTTGTGCTCCTCCTTCATAGGCAACGCAAACCCGTTTATGATACTACCTAAAATCTCCAAGAGTTCCCCAATCCCACTGTGTCTCTCTGTCACATAAATAAACCTATAGAATATGTTGTTGATTGCTTTCCTAATAAAAGGCCTGTGAACCATAAACTTCCCATATATCCTATGAAGAATGGTTTTCAAGCAACTTCAACACAAAAGAATGGTCGATATACCGTTTAGCCACCTTTGTATCCGTGTCAGTAGAAACGACATATCTGAGTAGCAATTCGTACACTAGCTGCAAATGAGGCCAAGAAGGTTCCAAATAAGGTTCCTCTTCCTCAGGATCTGCAGGTTCTTGGCCAGTATTCTCATGTGAAGCTGGAGGGAGACACCGGAAAATATTAACAGAAATCATCTTAATCATTTCTTCCTGACACGACTCTGAGATCTTACTAGATCCAGACTGTATAAAATCAACCAACTCCAACAACGTTTGCCTCTTAATCTCCTTCTCTCTGGCGTTCTTAATCGTGTCAGTGAAATCGAACAGGAAACAGCAATGCTGAAGTTTCCTCAAGAACAAGGATTGCCTCTCTGAAACAGGCACATCTCTGAACAAGGGGAGTGGCTCCACCGAGCCCGTAGGCGGAGGTGGTGGAGTAGCCGCCCCAGGCGACGGAGACGAATTAACCAATGCACCACGAGACGCGTGACTAACAACCACATTGGACCCAGAACCTGGCCTACCCGGATGACCAATACCATAATTAGAAGGTTCATTAGCTTCGGATTTAGAGGGCTTTCGATGCCCACCTTTCATGATTTTCTTAAACATGGCTGACGAGCAGAGAAAATCTAAGCTAAAGAGCTCAGAATTGAACGAAGGACGAATTAGAACCCTGAGTATTCAGATTCGAATCTTCAGATATCAGAGGTAGACTCCACTCTATGCCTCTCTTGGATCAAGCACGGGCTCATCAGTTTTGTAATCCCGCGGATAAATGAACTTGTGGCCTTAGAAATGATACCGGAGAGTGTTACCGGAGATCTGAGGAGGAGGTGGTGAAACTCAGACCATTGGGACTGATAGAAGAGATCTTCTCGGGAGTATACGATTGTTGATCGGACGGCTAAGATTTCCCGGCGATCAATCAAATCAGCTAAAGAAACGAGAAAGAGAGAGATAGCCTGATACAGAGCAAAACATTACAATTTGAGTACCCGTATTTTTTTTTGTTGATCAAAAGTGCCCGTATGTTTTTATTTATTTAACATTTAGCCATTTATTTTGTTTACGATAGATTATCTCTCTTTTATTCCACTACCAACACAAATGTCTAAATATTTATTTTGGGCGTATTCCAGTAACGGTCTCTTTGAAAATTTAGCTAATTAAGACATTCTAGAATATGGCCAAATAAAGAAATAACCTACCAGAATTATAAAGGTTACAAAATCAGTATTTAGGAACGTGCTCAAGCAATATATATAAAGTAACGAAACTCAATCAATATTTTAACCAAGCAAAAATAAGTCCGTAAAAGTAAACAAACCAGAAACACACCAAAGTTAAAAAAAAAAAAACAAAAAAAATTACGCAGTTATTACAATCTGGTAAAAACCAGATTTTTTTATTTAACGAAAGCAGTAAAAAAAAACCCAGAAAATAAAAGGAGGCGGCGCTGCCTTCTTCACCACCGTGTGACGTGAAATAATACTACTCACCGCCGATCGCGAGTGAACCACGCTGCTGTTCAATGTCGTCACCGTCCTCGTCTTGACCTTGCCGAGCAGTGTCACCGTCCTCGTCTTGACCTTGCCGAGCAGTGTCACCGTGCTCCTCTTGACGCGGCTGATTAGTGTTAACGGCGCCTTGGAGCGGGAAATGCAGCGGTGTTAAATCGACGGTATGAACAAACCTGAAGAGTATAGCGTTAAAGGCAGCGACCCCAGCTAAAACCCATTTTAAAGGATTCATATGGTTCATGCCCAGTGATACTGTTACAGCCACGGCCATGATGGCGTCGACGACACCCAATAGATCTGAGCACTTAAAGAGTTTAAGGCAGACGGTCAGATGCAAATGACACAAAATGTAGAAAGAGATGGCAAACCCGTTCCAGATCTTTTCTTTCCTCTCCACATCTCTGGACAAAAAACCGAAACCTACCAACACTCCGAAGAACACCACGCTTTTCACGATCAGGTGAAGTAACGGATATGTTGAAACCCAGCTTACACAGAAAGCGTTAAAACCGGCGATGTTGACACAAACACAGCTCAACGCGAAGATCAAGTATGCACACCCGCATATGATGATCAGAAGGCGCGTGATGGAAGATAGCTCCATTTGCAGAACACAGGCCATGATTCCACCTCCCGAAGCAACCAGGAGGATGTGGAAAAATATTCGATTCAACATGAAACCACCGAGAAAACCACCAATCGAATCCAAAAAGTTCTCAATAGGACCTGCAACACGAGCTATGGCGGGAGGAATCACCTGTGGAGGGTTGGTCGGACCCGTCGGAGCAGGCGCGCTCTGTCGCACCGCCAGACCCGTCGGAGGAGGCGTTCTCTGTGCCATCGTCCGAGTGTTTCACTCTTTCTTCTTTTTGGAGAGATAAAAACTAAAAGAAAAAAGTAAGAGAGAGAGAGTGTGTGACGGAGACGATTTGTTTGTTTTTACTTGTATATGATTCAGTCAGGTACACACGTCACTGTCACTGATACCATCCTAAACAAGTTTACGTATTTAACCCTAGAGTTTTGCTTAGCAGGGTGTTTGAATTATATAACCATTGGAGTAAAATATTTCAAATAAATCCTTCAAATTATAATCACATTCGCACACATCATAGTTCATACGTGTACCATCAATTTTATCCTGATGGAGATACATAAATTGAAAATTGATTTTGGAAAGGGAGATACATAATTTGAAAATAACACCTAAAAGACCAAAATCATCATAAAGGCTAGCTTTAGAGTCACTGCTTTAACCACAAAATAACTCGTGTTGCTTGGTAAAATCAAAGATATGCTTCTGTAAAATATATGAACAAAAATATAATCATATATTTTCCTTTTTGAGGAATAGAGGATAATTTTCTATATTGTAAGAAAAAATATATATATTGTACTAAGTGCTAACTAATATATTGCCATCATTTGCTACTAATATATACTGCATGCATGGCTACTCAGTCAAGCCATCATTTGCTATTATTCTCTTCGTCACTATCTATCTTTTCTTTTCTTATTTCTTATTTTACCTTTTTATCAAATTTGAAGAAGTAATAAGGCAGACATCTTTTGATCGCAACATGCATGCCAACTTTGCTTCTTATTTCCTCATTTTGATATATTTGCATGGCAAATATATCAATTAGCCACCATATATTATCAAAAATGGAAAGGGTTTTGGCTAATAAAGTTTGTACCATATATGCAACTTGATACGCTTAGTTATCACTTAGCCAGTTCGGTTTTGTTACTATTATAACAAATAATTGAAACATGGAACTTTCAATGTTTCCTTAATATAAAACGATGAAAAATGGATAGACATCATGATCCGTGAACAATTGACTAGTAAAAATAGAAAGGGTTGAACCCTTTCCTTTTTGTAAAATAGCCTATTTTAAATAGTGTTATAAATTACTTATTAGTAAAATAAGTATTGGACGTCGTTTAATTATAGATATCCCCCTATTTTATAAATTATTTACAAACGCCTTTTTACATACGTTGTTCGCCCTTAATTTGTTCATGTTTCCAGCTCTAGGTAAAGGTAAGGTAACGTCTATTGTCTTTATTGTAAGTTAGTTCAGATTATAAATATTTTCATATATCATGTGTCAAAAATATTAAAAGGTCCAAATATATATAATTGTAAGTCTAGTCCAATTAGTATAATCCGTAACAACATGAAAAATACGTAAATTAAAAGTATTTAAGGGTAGAAATAGAATCTTGATTACACGAGGCTTCCCATTGATCAGAACGTAAATTACATATGGGATGACTCATAAAAGATTAAAGAAAGGTTGAAGAAAGAGATTACTATATGTAGTTGAATATATAGTCCACGGTTGACTTATACTTGCGTATCTCTAATTGATGAGCCTACTCTTTTCGTTTTTCAAAAACAATACCGGCTTTAATAGTTCTTTGCCTTCTCTATGTTATACCGGCTTTATGTTATGTTATGTGAGAAACACTTTACCAGAAAGAGAGGTTCTCGAACGATGAGTTTTAAACTTTTAATTTTAAACCACAAAGGCACAAAGAATGGAACGCAGCGTTTCAATATGCAAAGCAAGTTTGAAGTTTCTAATTTCTATGGCCGGAAATGTAGCTTCCAAGTAAAGAAACTTTTCCTTACTTCTTCTACTGTTGAAAATGTTTAATACGCTGCAAATTCTTAAGGTTTGTAAAGGATGCTTGCAGCCTGACAATGGGAAGATTTTTAGATTCAATGGGAACTTAGTTAAGTTACGGTCTACCTCTATGAGATTGAGGTTACCGATCGAGTCGAAAAGAGTGTGAAGACACCAACCTCTACTCTGTTTCTTACATACTGTATGTTTAAAAATCACAATAACCAAATTAGCATCCCAGTATATTAGAGTAGTTTGTAGCCTTACAAAAAAAGAAAAGAAACCAGCAGTGGTTTTGGATTTGGTATTGGTATATAACATGTGGATTGGAGACAATATTGTCAAAATTTTCCAAGCTAGTGAGTAATGTTACAAAATTTTGTGTAGGCTACGCGATAATAATTCATGTATCAACATGCATAGCCTAAAATTTGTTATCTCGATATATGTAGCAATAAAAGACGACCATATTTGGGGTCAAAAATATAAATAATACTATGATCAAGAAAGATCACACAAAGATAAATAACTTCAAAGTTTCGATATGATAATCTCCTCAAGAGAAAACATCAATGTTCATTAGACATGACAGGATCAAATCTTTTCTTCAACGTACCAATCTGCTTAAGACTCAACCCAAAAGCTTTCATAAGCAACTCCTCGTTGATCCCTGACCCAAAAACCACCGACGGTATCTTCTGAATGCCAGGGCTTTGACTATTTAGTCCGGCGAGAATCGTGGCCGTAACATCTCCGACGTTCATCTGAAAATGTACAAGCCCTTTTGGGTAAACCATCATTTCTCCTTCTTCCATTACTTTGGCGTAAACCTTATTGTTCGAGTCCACAAAACCGGAGTAAATCCGTCCTTTAACCAAGTGAGCTACTTCTGTGGCCCGTGGATGGTAATGCGGCGGGTTTATGGATCCCGGTTTGAGGTCAGCCCGGACAAATGACAAGCCTAATGTGTTAAGGCCCGGAAAGTTTGCCGGGCTTACAGGGACGGTGGCGAACCCTGTCTCGGTAAAGATTCCAGCGGTTTTAAGACCGGAAAAGACAAAATCTTCGGTGGTTACTTCGGAGGAATTTTTGCAAGGGAGATTGGTGGAGAAGTGATGGTCATGATGAGGAGATGTAATAGGTTTTGGTATACAGAAGTCTTGGATGGGATCGGGGTCTGAAGCTAACGTGAAACATACATTAAAACAGAGAAGAAGAAGAGCTTTTAGAGAGAACAGAGTGTTTGCTTCCATTTTACTCTTGAGGTGTGGAGAAGAGTTGTGTTATATCCGGTTTAAATAGGCATATATTTGGAGGGGTAAATGAAATATTATGGTTAAGGTGGTTATATATACGGACAGTAATTTTAAAAGAGATTTGCCAATCAAGCCAAAATGGGGTTTATGAGTTAAGGCTTAACCAAATGGACAAAGAGTATTGATGTGGTATAAATCTATCACTTGGGCTGAAACAGAGGCACGTATATATTAGGCGTGATGAGAGTGTGCGCATGCCACGGTATTCAAAATGATGAATGTGTTGCCTAAGCTTTTTGTTAAGTACTATCCAAGGCATGATTAGAAGATGTTTTTAATTCGGTGGTAAAGTTTTAGGATGACAAATCAATGGGTAAAAGAACCTTAATTTATATATTGATTTGTCATCTCTTTTGGATGAAGTTGTTGATCACTCGACTTTTTAACCAAACGAGTTAATTATGACCACAATGATAAAGAGAAACAAGGCATGCGATGAGGCTACAACATGCTTGTGAATGAAGTAAAATAAAGAAATAAGGTAATGATGAACAATAGCTCCCATCATCATTATGTTTTGATATCAACCTCACAATTTCATCATTTGTATCTCTAAAAAAATTTGATGAAATTGTGAGTTGATATCAATTTTGTTTTCTCTACCTCAGTTTACTTCACTCTTTTATTAGTTTTCAATTATGAAAAACATACAATAACGTACACTATTGTTTTGCAGGCGGCAAATGTATGGTACCGGATTGGAGGGTCCAGTCTCTTGTCTCTTTCGGCTCTTGAAAGAGTATTGATTTGTTAGTCTGATTAGCGACTTGAACAGAGTAGAAATGCATGCATCAGTCTTTTAATGATTTAAAAGTTTACAAAGAGCAAAGAAGGAGATAGACTTCATCAACTATCAAAACAATAACATCTGTTTTTTTCTTCTTCTTTAAAGCAGAAAACCAAAAACAACCAACATTTGGGAAGAGCAAGTAGGAATCAACGGAGTCTTCTGGCTTCTCTCTCGGACTCAAGAAGGGTGAGAATATCTCCCTCTCTGACTGGTCCTTTGACGTTCCTCATGATGTAACGGTCAGAGTCAGTGAACTTGACTCTAACCTGAGTCACTTGACCCCTTGACCCAGTCCTTCCCATCACTTTCACTACAACAGCGTGCTTGATCTGAGAATCCATCCTGATCAGATTCAAACCAACCACCCAAAAAACAAACATTCAGAAACGAGGTTTTGCAAAAAGTGAAATCTCTATAGATATTACTCGCATTTGAATCGAAAAATGTATAAAGCAATCAGCTCAGGAGTAACGGCATATAAGAACTTACAACACTTAAAGTTACGAAGCTAGAAGATCAAATCACAATTAACTGAGACGAACACGAATGTAACCTATATATTATATCTAGCAGCAATGTGCATTAGAATCAGACTAGAACATCAAAGCAATAAACTTTAAGAGATCAATTTCAAAACCCAAATGTAGAATACTGAAGATATCATCTCTATCTTCTTTGAAAAAAAACAGTAAATGAGATTCCTCAATCTTTTAAAATCATCATTTGCTTATGTATGAACCCTAACATTCTTAAGCACAAGAGCTTTGATTTATCATTGAATCAGGAGCTAAACTGACATCTAACAAAGCAGGAGAGGAAATTGTATACAGATCATGAACGAACGAGCCCATAAACGACTTTAAAACGAAGATAACGAGAAGCAAAAACATATCGAACACGAAGAGAAACCTGTTAGAGAGGCTCTGCGTACGCGGTAGAGCTTTAGCGGCGATAAGACTGAAAGCGCAGAAGATAGATTTAACAGAAAGAACCCTAATTTCGAGAGACGCGACAAGAACAAGTTTATAAGATATTGTACCAAAAAAAGTCAAAATCAGGTCATAAATCATTGACCCGGTTTTAAGACCATACCGAACCGATTCTTTTAATGTCTCGACAGAAATTTTGGAGCTACTTCCTACTTATGCGCAACCTCTAATCTCATCATGTAATAGGTGGAATATGGAAGTTAATTAAATTAACAAGAAAATGTAACATTATGAGTTTCATTAATATTGGACAGCCTTATCAATTTTATTATATAAGGAAAAAAATATCAATTTTATTATATAAGGTTGCATTTCTTAAGAATTAACCTATGATGAAAGTTATTATTATTTATTTTGACATCAAAGGTCAAAAAGTACATTCAAATATAAATAAACTAATAAAATACATCAAGATTTTGGAAAAACTGCGAATAAGGAAAAAAGAAAAGTTACACCAAAATTTAAAACAGCTCAAAACTAGATACCAAAAAAAGAAAGAAGAAAATGAATAACAAAAAGAACACACAAACATCTCTCGTAGCTCTTCATTCTTCAAATAGCACGGAACACAAGTGCTCTAAAGGAGGAGGGAACGCATTTCATGCTCCACGCATCTAAAAAATAAAAAATATAAAGTAACATTAAGCAGATTGTACGTAAAAGCAAGAACATACACTAGAGCTATACATATGTGACGATGTGTTGCAACAAATCATCAATGAACTTACTCGAATCACCAGTGACTTTCACCAATTTACCACAGGTGTATTTCATATTTGATGCGTCCAATGTAACACTAGTGGCCGGAAGATGATATTTTAGATTAGCTCGACCAACAGCAATTTGGAATGAGAAAGCAGAGCTTTTGATCTCAAGGCCGTCGGCTGCTTCTCTAAACCAAGGAATCGCATCGCCCTTGCAACAAATTGGTACGTTTTCTTGCGGGAAGAAGTCGCCGTCATAATCAGTAAGTTGTGTGGGTAAGTCCACGATGGTAATCCTATTCATGTTCTTGACATGACGCAATGTAAAATTACTGCTCTTAGCACCCACAGTGCTCAATAGGATTTCATCGTGGACCCATATCCACTTTAATGCCCATGGACCTTCTATGTCGTGATACTTCAAGTAGTTGAAGATTGTCACGTTGGCCGTGTAATGACTACCACGAGTTTCTTTCATGATCTCCCATCTTATTGTCACATTCCCGTCTGGATTCCAATCTGAGAGAGAGAGAGAGAGAAGCCAATTACTCAATTAGCATGTAAAACAAAAGTTATGGCATATATATATATATATATTGGAAATGATTCTCGATCTATATAACAAGTATGCATGATTTAGGCAGAAGTAGAGAGAGTTAAGTTACGTTACATACACTTGGGGCTAATCAAGCAGGAGTTTTGAGAAACCATGGAATTATTTTCGGAATATGTATGCAGATTTGCGATACATTGAGGCCCCCATAGGCTTACTCTAGCATATCTCCATGGATTGAATCTAACAGAGCCAACTAATGAAGCCTCCACCAAAAGCAAGAGAAACACAAATTTCGCACTACTTGAAGATACACTCGTCCACATTGCTCGACAAGACGCAGAAACGAGATCTTTGCTCTAGGGGATCTCTCCTTTTTAATGGCTTTACTATATTACCTAACAAGATTTGAACTAAATATTCGGAAATTTTTAGGGATTATTGTTGTATAAAAGGATCTTTTTCAATCTTTAGTTTTATAAATCCAAGTTTTACAACAAAAAAAAACATTTTACTGTATAGTACTTCTTTTCCCGTCCTCGTATCATACCGATAGCCATGAACCGATAGATCGGTCTAATACGGTTTTCGATTTTACGTATCTCACTTCGGGTTAAGGTCTTCTTTAACTCTTAAGGTCTCTTTGACCATGGCGGAAACGGGAGATCGTTCGTTGGTAGATGTTTGTAAAGAAGAAGAAGTCACAACTGTCTGAATTGAAACCAACCAGCGAGTTCCGGCCAAAGAGGACGAGGAGGAGCTTCGTCTGTTGACACACGCGCCGCCGAGGGCATGGGTCGACTCTCATGGGCCAGTCCGATTCAGAGATTCCGTTTCTTCTCTTCCTTTCCTCAGGTTCTCTTCGTCTCTCTAATGTTTTTCTTCTTCTCAATATTGGCTAAGTTGAATAGTTTCTTTCTTCCCTACTGCCCACCCCAGTTTTGATAGACTATAAGAAAGAAAGATTTCATTTTTGTAGATGAAGAAACTGGGCTTGCACTTGTGTAATAGTTGCATTTTACTTGCTCCAACCCCAAAAAAAACACAAAAAAGTATCTCCTTTAGATTAACATTGATGCTCCTGACTAAACAAAAGTCTCTCTTGTGTTTACTCTTCTCTTGCTCTGTAGCACAGGGGAGCAACAAGTGTTTTGGCTTGCTCTGGCTATATAAATCGTTATTTTTCGTCTCTAGGTACACTCAGTAACTTCCTGGTAGTTTTCATGAATGGTTTACTCTCTATCCATTCTTCACGAACATGTGTTTCATTTTGTTAGTTGAAGCTTCAGATTGTGAACTTGATGAAGTTCCAGATGATAGCAAAGTAGCGGAGAAGGACACTGCTCTACATCTAGCATTATCACAGCTTTCGGGTGATTTTGATAAAGACTCTAAGTTGTCATTGCAGCGGTTTCTCAGAAAAAGGAGAGTTTCTGTGATTCCTACTGGTTCCCTTAACCTTGATCTTGCTCTTGGAATCGGAGGATTACCAAAGGTTGTTTAAGTTAGAGTCTGAGATAGGACTAGCCAAGCTATAACTGTCGCACTTAATGAGAGTCTCTATATTGGTTTTTCTGGTAGGGAAGAATGGTTGAGATTTATGGAAAAGAAGCTTCTGGAAAGACAACTCTAGCTCTTCATATCATCAAGGAAGCTCAAAAGCTTGGAGGTATTGTTTTTGAATCTTTCATCCTCAACACATATGTTTGAATAGTAATCTTGGGACTTGTTACTAGATCCATTTAAGTTTGGATCACAGATCTTCTAGTTTTTTTCTTTCTTGTTTCTAGTGCGGTAAGCAATATTTGTTTTTGTGAAGTTTATTCCGATTCTTAGCTGGCTGACTTGCTTTAATGCTTCACTCCGTTAGCTTTTTTATTTTATCTGAAAAAAGACTTGTTTTGTACCAGGTTATTGCGCTTATCTTGATGCCGAGAATGCCATGGATCCCTCTCTAGCAGAATCAATAGGTGTGGACACGGAAGAGCTTCTGATATCACGACCTGATTCTGCTGAAAAGATGCTAAGTATTGTCGATATGCTAACCAAAAGCGGGTCAGTAGACGTAATTGTGGTTGACAGTGTGAGTTTTCAGCTTTTCATTGTTTCATTTCAATATGTTCATCTATTCTTTCTGCATCTACTAAAATTGTGGTGGAATTTACAGGTTGCTGCTCTTGCCCCTCAATGTGAACTTGATGTTCCTGTAGGAGAAAGATACAAAGCCACACAATCAACAATAATGACACAGGCGCTCGGAAAAATCCATTACTCAGTTGGCTATTCTCAGACACTGATCGTTTTTCTTAATCAGGTAAGAGAGATATTATGGTTTATTAACCTCATTTGCTTCTTTAGTTGGACCATATTGACCCACCTTCCAAAGATAAGTTATCTCTGCTAATTCTGTGATCCAGGTCAGATCGCATGTCAAATCTAGCATGTGTTTCCCCCAAGCCGAAGAAGTGACTTGTGGAGGAAACGCATTGCCATTTCACGCAGCTATACGCCTCAAAATGATAAGAACTGGGCTAATAAAGACTGGCAATAAGGTATTGTTTTGTTGGGTACATTACGTTATTGTAAACTGGGTCTGTCTGCGAATAACAGTATGGCAATCGTTTTAATTTTAACCTGATATCTCCATCTTCTTTTGATTGCTTTGTTTCCTCAGATTAGTGGTCTCAATGTCTGCGTTCAAGTGGTGAAGAATAAACTGGCGCCAGGAAAGAAGAAATCCGAATTGGGAATTCACTTTGGTCATGGCTTCTATGTGGAGCGAGAAGTATTAGAATTGGCTTGTGAGCATGGAGTTATCATAAGAGAAGGAACTAGCTATTTCATTGAAGGCGAGGTCATCGATGGGAAAGCCGCAGCTGAGAAGTATCTCGTTGAAAAGAAAGAGGTTCTTGATACTGTTGTAGGATCTCTGAGGAACCAGCTTTTCAAGATGTGAGAGAGATGACTATTTCTGTAGAGCCAAACAAATGTGTATGTTTTGATAGAGCCAGAAACTAGTGGAACGTTGCATCAACCTCGGCTTCCCTCTTAACAAACGTGTAGGTATGCTAACTAAAAGGAGGATCAGAGAAGACTTGGCAAAGCTAGTTGTTTTTACATGATTCATAGGTATTGTTCTTGTAAGAGATTCTCCGTCATGTCCTGCACAGTTCTGCAAAAGATTCTGATTTCCTTATGGTTATATATGAAGCAGTATTTATTTGTGTCTTAAACCATCTCTACATCCATATTTACCAACAATACGCAATATCATCTTTACATAGTTTGACATATGTATTCAATAGGCTAATCAGATGTTAGATTAACTGCACTATGGACAGATCCATCTTCCATCCTAATCCAGGACTTGATACGAAATGGCATTTCAGTAATCTCCAAAATCCTTGATCCTCTTGGCCAATTTCCATATCCACCATAACCCGTGTGTCTAGCAAAGCAAAGCCAGAGCTTATCTTTGTAAGGGCAGCACCAGTCTAGTCCATGGTTGTGTCCCACAAATATTGCCTACGTACAAAACATATCGAAAAACAGAGCCATCATTTTCCATACCGAAACAGTTCATAAAAAAGAGTTACCTTATCCAACTTAAAGGCATCTTTTATGTTGCACAATTTCGTGTTTAGTTGGTACCTTAACCGAGGATCTGTTCTCAAGAACTCCCATCATCCCATTTTCAGCTTCTTGAGCAGCAACTTTCTCTTTGTTGATTGATCCGACGCAAGGTTTTGTTATCCATAGGCTTGGAGCTACGTTCTCGTATGCTTTACTAGGTATGTGCCAAAATATCAACTCCGGAATACTGCAAGAAATATACATCTTTAGATATTGAGTTTTCCCAACAGAAAAAGCTTTGATGTTAGTATTATTCATACCTTAAATCGGGATTGAGAGTACTAGACTTGGTTTTAAACCATTCAACTTGAGCATTTGAGATAACCTCCGGGTATGAACCACCGCCTGAATCAAGAAAGTATAGCAATGCCACGGGTGGTTTGGAAAGATTGGATGATTCCACAAGAAGGACATAGTTAGATACGCTTGGCCATAGCTCCTTAGGACCAATCACTGAGTGTGAGAGTGCATTGGAAGACTTGATTTCTTCCAGAAGAAGTTCCACTCGCGTTGTTCCTCCAAACGCGCATCCATCATCACCATCAGATGCGGGGCTGCAGCGAATAGGAGGGATACCGGAAGAAGAGAACCAATCCAAAGGCCAAACGAAAGAAGCATCGTCGTGGTTACCAAAGAGAGTAGCCCATGGAATGCCTCTGTCTCTTGTAGGAGAGATTGCTTTGTCCCAAAACAAGCTTGCGTTTTGTATTGCTATGTTGTTAGCCGTTACAACATCTCCCAAGTAGACCACAAAATCTGTTCATTTCTCCCAAAAAAAAAACTTTTATATCAGTTACTTTAGTTTCACAGTATACGAGCTAAGCTAACACACTACTCAGTCAAATTAAACCAAACCATTCAAAACGTTCCACAAGTAAATAAACCACATGTTACTTCAGTTTACTGTATGTGGTTACACTCTTTCTACACCAAACAAGTCAAAACAAGATTGATGCTTGAACCTGGAGTTTCAGAGTCGAGAAGGGCGGACATAAGGTTGACGGAGTTTAGATCCTGAAGAGGACCCCAATGAGTCCACGAGTCTTCACCGAAGTGGAGGTCTGCAAAGATTGCCATCTTGAACGGTGATCCTTCCCGCACCCGAAGATTACTACTGCTACTCGCCGCTGCCGTCGTCGTTGGTATGCTTAGCTCCCATCCTCCTACGGCTGATCTTAGTGGAAGAAGAGTTAGAACGGTGATGATCAGACATGACAACCACTTTTTCATCTTTGGAATAACACTACAATGGCCAAATTACTAGTTCTTGCAGAGCATATTTATAGAATATTCAATATTTCTCCTTTTTTCTTTTTTTTTGGGGGTCTCCACTCTCAACACTCTCCATGTTACGTCTAGTTCAATTTCAACTTTCAAGGCACTATTAATTTCCACCACCTTTGTCTCTAGCGTCCACAATGATGATTATATATATCTTCACTTTATAAATTTTGGATACGTTGCAGAAAAAGAAAATGTAATTTGGAAATGGATGAAAGATGAGAGGAAAATATAAACTAAAACAAAATTTTAAAGTTTAACAGAAATATACAGCTTAATGGACCAGCGAATTTAATGGTAATCATGAGAAAGAGAAAGGTTCTCACGTTATGTAAAAAACGGACCAGCGAATTAAATGGTAATTATGGGAAACACAAATAAAGTTTAACAGAAAAATACAGCTTGATGGACCAGCGAGTTAATTGGGGTAATTATGAGAAAGATAAAAAAAAAAAAAAAAGTATAAAACAATGGAACTCTGTAAAGATTTGACTACTCTTACGGAGCCTTTTTTTAGTTTTGGTTATAAAAGAAAAAAATCTAATCATCTCTTCAGCAATCTGAGCACATCTCCAACAAGATGTAACGATCCTGTGACCAGAACCTGTTGCATAAACACCATTAGAAACATAAGATAACACCAACGACGACACCAGAGATGTTAATGTTCTGTTCAAAAATCAGGCATTCATTTCTTGTCTTTGAAGTCGATACTGGATTTAGCTTTGACTTACCTCTAGTTTCAGTGAAGGGTTCCGTCGTACACAGTCTCGTAGCCAGTTTATAGTCAATGGCAATGAAGGCATTACAGCGCTGGAAGTGACCACTTGTGTCCCTGCAGGTCCACCACAATGAGGTGCATCTCCACATAGGAAATCATGAGGTGGTAAGGTGGTTATTCCATCCGGTTTCAGTGTATGGTCAAGCGCAGCATCTGATTAGTCACCGGACATATGATCAAGTTTAGGCGTGACATCAATAAGTTTCAAAGAAGCAATACTTAAGCTTACCTGTTCCTTGGATTGATTTCTCCCACAGTCTTTGTAGTCTGAACTGCCAAGTCAAATCTTTTCTACGTGTATCCGAAGGAATCGCTGCTGCACCCGAAATGACCTTGTTGTAAGTAGACATGCTCGGGACAAAAAGCGCTCTTGAGAAATGAGTGCCTGAGAGTGTTCCATTCACCAATAAGCATCACAAGTATCAACAACAAACTCTAAAAACAGAGTACAACTTATTTTTCAGATAACCTGAGGAAGCGCAAGTGGTGACGAGCTTTGGAAGTAAGACTTGAGGGTCTCTTACTTCCATGCAGTTGAACAGAAGAATCTATTAGCACATAAGAACTCTTCACAAGTCAGATCAATGTATAAAACACAAAGGAAAATTTGCAATACGTTGAATAGAGAGGAAAGTTCAAAGAACTGCGATAACAATGGAACTGCATTGATCAATGTTGGTCTTGATCACCTGTCTGGAGACTCTGTGAAAGTCTCTACTATACTCCCCATTTCTCCTGTAACCATTGACAGCAGTAGACAAGCTTTTGTTTCCTGTGACTGCAGCAGAGAACCATCGACCACAAGCATCCATGCTCTCTGGACTGTGAGCTCCATCCAAGTAAAATATCAGATCACCGCATGAAGATTCCGTGGAACCAGACGAGTCCTGTGGATCTGAAACTACATCATGAACAACTTGAGCTCTCCCATGAAGACGTGCCGTTGCAAGACCACGACAAAATGCCACGGGAATCTCAGTTTCCTTGGTTCCCTGTTTAAAAAAATTCCACAAGGAACAAATGAGATTCACCTAGTAAAGCCCTTGGAAGTTTAATAATGACATAAGAGCAAAACCCAACATTTGGAAATATCTTCTCCAAATTCCCAGTTCTCTGAAGCCAGCATCTTGAAAGAGAAACAGCGAGACCTGCATTTACAAGCTGATGATCCCCAGACAAGCCAAGCGCAACTCCGTCCAACATTTTAAGGTCAAGAGGGGCTACCACTTCCAGAGGAACCTGTAACGCACGCCAAACAGCATTTTTTCCCAGTAGTTTGGTTATTTATAACAGCATAACTAAACCAGAGACACCGAAAGACCATTATTTGAAACGTAAACTGCTTTCTTTCCAAAACTAAGAACAAAGACACCAAAGAAACTAAGATAGAACCCTGGTGGTCAATTCTAGAGCACCCCACAAACTCTCCCAAACCCAAACCATTTTGAAAACATGTGTTACCTCTTCCCACATTCAATCCTCTCCTAGTTATATCGATCCTAGTCACTAAAATACACATGTTGATGTGGCATGTGTGTTTGATGAACTCTTATCAGAAGTCAGAACTACAACTTTTTTGAGCTTATACGAATAACTAACCGTTGGAACACCAGCACAAGTGGAATGAAATATAAAAACCTACTATAGTTACCTCAAGATTATTAGCTGTTTTCTGAAGAACCTCCATTGCTTCAGAGAGTTGGGGTACTGTGAAGGCGGGGATTTGAGGCTTTCATTAGCATACAAGAAAACAGAGCAAATCAGAGAATACCTAACATGAAGCTGCCAGTGGGAAACTTTGAAACAAATATATAGCATTCACAAAATTCTGAGACACAGAAAACTTTTTGAAAAGTAGCTAATATAGTTATAAGGTTTGTACCTTGAAAATCCCAGCCTTATGAAATGCAATATCAGCTAGCGTATTTCCTGTGTAGAATTAGCATTGAGAAGCCCGAGTTAGAAGGATGACGAAGAAAGTACATTTGCCTAATGAATTGAGAATAAAATAGTATCACATACCCAATATATCCATATGATCCATCCCAAGAGATGCAATGCCGCAGACGACAGGTTTTCGAATCTGTAATTTACATTTTCGGTTTTAATGAAGACAGATGTCCAAATTAAATTGAATATGACAGGAATTCATGAGACATAAGCTTCTCAAAAGTTGCTTACCACATTTGTCGAGTCAAGTTTTCCCCCAAGTCCAACTTCAATGACAGCAACATCAACCTGTGAGGAACAACAGTAGTATTGTAGTAAGAATCGAGTGTTAGCCAAATACATAACGTTTCAATGCAAAGGGAGCTTAGTGAAAGTAGCTTATGAGATAGGAAATACTGTAAGGAGTGTAAAAGTAAAAACTATACTTGGACAGAAGGCAATGAACAAGTTACAAGTGATACCATGTGAACAATAATAGCAATTTTAGCCCTTCAATAAGCCACTGGATTTCAACGTAGCATAACTTAAACTAGCCTATGATGCAAAGGGAGCTCAGTGAAAGTAGCTGATGGGAGAGGAAATACTGTATGGAGTGTGAAAGTAAAAACTATACTTGGACAGAAGGGCAAGACCAAGTTACAAGTGTATCATGTGATTGATAATAGAAATTTTGGTCCTTCAATAAGCCAACAGATTTCAAAGGAGCATAACTTAAAGTAGCCTATGATGCAATTGCGAAGATGACCCCATTTTTTCACAGAATATTAATTAGCCACTACTTGTGTTATGAAACAAAGAATACATATGACTTATTAATTAGAATAATATTAATATACCTTTTCACAAACAAAAATCTTAAACGCCAATACTGTGAGGAACTGAAAAAGAGGAGGCATGGTAAGACCATCTACTGCTTTCTCCTGCAAATAAGAAGCTCGCTATTAGATATCTACACTGTTTGCTAGTAATCTACACTGAGTACTTTACTCACAGTTAACTATTTTTCTACAGACAGCAAAAAAAGGTATACACTAATACATTCTACAGATTAAAGCCGAAAATCTTGGCCTTCTCATTCCACAAAGACAAAGAACAGATTCAGAATGGGAAATTGCTACAAAGCAATGCAAAGAGCATGGCTTCTGGTAAAGCAATGAATTATACTTACAGACTATATCTCAAACTGGAACAAAAAGCACTGCATATTAAAAAAGGGTCTTTTACCTTCAGTAACTTCCAACATTCCCAGAAATACTGTAGAAACTTTTCCTCAGATATATCCAAGCTGGCAAAGCAAAACATCATTCAAATTCGTCTCTTGTGTGTTCAAGTAACGTTGAACATCAATATATTGATGAACTTACCCATCTATTCGAAATCTTTCCCTTACATCAATCAGGTGTGGAGATGTAAACATTCCGGTTCGAAACCCACAATTACGTAAAATTGCCTCACTGAAGACACATGTTGAACCCTGAAATACATAAATACAAAGCCAGAACTCAAAAAATCAGTATCTACATACGGATATTCTAATCATCAATATTACTTGCATACTGTATAAGCTATAATTATAGAACACAGGAATTTCAAAGTTTAGAAAACAGAAAAATAGCCCCTTGCAGGCTCAGATAGCACTAGATTGTACTATCGGATACTATAATTAATCAGCATAGATAGTTATTTCACCGAATGAGCTGGTTTTCTGTAAAGTGCTAAGTGCTCGAAGTTGGAAACAACATCATTTCACATAAGTGCTATATTCCTTCTACTGAATTATTTTTTCAAACTAAAATTCAAATTCTAGGACCTGCATTAGCTAAAGTGAAAAAGCAACGTACCTTTCCTTTAGTTCCTGCAACATGAATAACTTTTAGTTCTTGTATTTTGTCCTCCAGGTCCAAAATCTGTATTTAGACAAAAACAACAGACACAATTCCTAGTATTTGAGTACCATCGAAAAGAAAATATGCTGCATGAAAATATGAAATAAATTTGACATGAATCACATCACTCCAAATTGTTGGTGGCCAGAGGTAACATAAGTCATGTACTGTCTCGACAGCGGAAGCCCAGAAAAACTCAGTCTAAAGAATAAAAAACAGACTACTAAATTCCATGATCACTTGAGACAGTTCAGAATGAGTTACACAACATTCATGTCACACAAAAATATTGCAAATATTCTCAACAGTCTTTGTATGATTTCAGTTTTATTTCATTCAAGCAGTGTTAGTCAAATGGCTGTATCACCTTGAGATATGCGATGACTTGTTCAAGCTTGTCACGACTTCCACTAGTAGGTGTGCGGTCCCCACGGTTTCGACGAGAAATAAGAGTTGACAGCGCTTCCATGGCATCATCGTATGAAGATAAAGCTGGATTCTCTGCCTTTGCTTCCTTTGAACCCATCTCAATGGCAGCTTTCTCCACAACTTCTATTGATTTGGTTGAGTACCTAAGATCTAGAGATGACAACAGAGCAATATTTCACACCAGCCTCAAGGCATGAAACAAGTGTAAGCATAGTGGTGGTGTATATACTTACTATTGTTGAAATAAACACAATCTCCAGTGCCTGAGGGTAAACTGTGAAAGCCCCTCTTTGTATTAGTTAAGAAGGAATTTCTTTTGTCAAAAAAGAATGGAACTCCAGGTGCTCCGCACTTTAGAAACCCTTTCGCATAAACGAGCATCAGGGAATCTCAAATCTGCAACCAAAACATGCTTGATAAGTTGTTAAGTCCGTTCTCTCTTACCATTCATGCCCTTGTTCAATCACATAAGATAAGCCCCCAAAAGTGTCCCTATTACAAACAGAGCTCTCGTGCTGATTTTCAAATTCAAGTAACCAGAAATCAGTTGGATTGCATCAAAACGCACAGGATATTTCTTAAATCCCGTTCCAAGAGTAGCTAAGCAAGTAAGCTGTCTACTTTAAGCATTCATAGTGTATTCTCAAAGTCTCAACAATGTGAATCCATACAACAGATATCCAATAAAGTATCATTATAGCCTCAACCCAGTTTCGAAGCAAGCAAACAGAATCGATCGACGAACACAAAATACCTATAAAGTTTCAATCTTTCAGAAAGTAGAATAAGAGACGGATGGAGAGAACTCAACAAACCATGGGAAGCTTCAATCGATAAATCGAGTTAAGTATTATGGACGTGTGGCTCTTCTTATTGCAACGTATGTGTGAGAGGAGAATCTTAGCCTTAGGGTTTGTGGGGTTGGAGACTTGTCTCAGCACTCAGCAGCCATTTCCACTCTCCACCACCTTCATTTTCGAATCATCATCATCATCTTCCTCATCCTAACTTAATTAAAGCCATTCAATTGAATATTAAATAAATTCTTTCTGTTTTCTTATCTCAATATCAAATTAATTTTGTCAAAATAACCAAAAATCCATTTCTTAAATTTTGCTTAATAGATGTAAAATGTATTTTTTTTGAATCATGGTAATTACCCTAATAAATTATACTTAAAAATAATCAGAATCAAATGTATAATATATATATATATATATATATATTTAAAAGAATGGTCACTAAAAACTCAACACAAATGTTCTTATTATCAAAAAAAAAAGATGTTCGTATTATGTGAAATAATCAAATGTTGTATGAAAAGAGTCAAAGATGAAAGATAATCATGTATTCCAAAATAAGAACATTTATATCATGTATTCCAAATTAGCATCATTCTACTGATAATTAACTGATAACATATGATCATTTCTATTTAGAATTTGCTTATCTTACTCGGCTTCACTTTGTGGTTGTTACTTGTTACTTGTTAGAAATTAAACTATTGTCATATAAATTTATAAAATTGAGAATTGAGAGACGGTTTCCTATCATGAATAATCAAATGCGTTGTAATTAAACTCTCTGAACATGCAAATGCAATGGCTTGGGACAAAGATCACGGAGATGGCTCTAGCCTATTTGCATTTGCTTGCCTACAGAAGATATGTACTTGGAATCCCCCAATATCTCTTGCCACTTGTCTATTTCTTTGACGAACTATATGAAATATGTCTCCAAGAAGGCAAATATGTAATATGTTCACTTTGTCTATATGTGATTTAGAAACAAATCACAAAATATAAAACGAAAATATAAAAGTTAAATGGGGGGGGGGGGGGGACAAAAGATGAATGGAATCACGAGAAAGAGATAGGGTTTTAGAAAGCACTGCAGTAGAAACAAACACACATGTGATTAAGCTTCGTTTCGTTCGTTATCACTAGCCTTCTTCTGCTCTCTGCTTCACATGCCCAAGATTGGGAATATGTAGTCTATATTTGTACTACTACTACTACTACACTTTTGATAATACTTATCTCATAATATTATATACATCAAAAAAAAAAAAAAACTTTAGAGATTAGATAGGGGAATTTGCCAAAAATCAGTGGCAGGAGAAATAATGTTTTCTAGATTTAAAAAATAAAAAAAAAAAAAATTGGAAACTGGACTATATATATATATACTGGACCAGTATTCTTTGTTTATAACGAGCTTAAGTCTGCAAAATAAACGATATATATACCTGAGCTTCCGGGTTTAATAGGGTATGGATTTCATGGATTCTAGCTTGTGTAAGTTCAGTCTCCTACTCCTTTCTCATTAATGGCTCACCACAAGGAAAAGTGGTGCCCTCTCGAGGTTTAAGACAAGGAGATCCGTTATCCCCTTACCTTTTTATCTTGTGTACCGAGGTGCTCTCCGGACTTTGTAGTAAGGCGCAAGCGAAAGGGACTCTCTCCGGGATTAAAGTGAGTAGAGCAAGTCCACCGGTGAACCACCTCCTCTTTGCAGATGACACAATGTTCTTTTGCAAGTCTAGTGCTGTGTGTTGTCAAGCCCTCACTCAAATCTTAACTTCCTACGAGAAGGCTTCGGGGCAAAGCATTAATCTTACAAAGTCGACTATCACTTTTTCGGCTAAAACACCTTCAGAAGCTAAAGCTCGGGTTAGAAGAACTCTTAATATCTCGCAAGATGGTGGACTGGGAAACTATCTAGGTCTCCCTGAAGATTTTGGAAGGAAAAAAAAAGATATCTTTGCAGCCGTAGTTGATAAGATCCGACAAAGGTCTCACAGCTGGACTACACGCTTCCTTTCTAGTGCCGGAAAACAAGTCCTACTCAAAGCTGTCCTCACAGCTATCCCTATATATCCCATGTCGTGCTTCAAGCTCCCTATCTCTCTTTGCAAGCAAATTCAATCAATCTTTACTCGGTTTTGGTGGGATGATAAACCTGATGAAAAAAAGATGTGTTGGGTGGCTTGGGATACCCTTACTCAACCCAAATTTTCTGGTGGACTAGGATATAGAGATGTGGAACACTTCAATGACGCCCTTCTCGCAAAGATTGGATGGAGACTCTTGAATCAACCTGATTCGTTGTTGGCGCGTGTTCTCTTTGGCAAGTACTGTCACTCTTCAAGCTTTCTAAACTGCTCAGATTCGCCTAGAGTAGCATCTCATGCCTGGAGGAGCATTCTCGTGGGAAGGAAGCTACTGCGACAGGGACTTGGATGGTCAGTGGGGAATGGAGCTTCCATTAACGTCTGGCAAGACCCGTGGTTGTCCCTTAATTCCCCCATGGCGCCCATCGGTCCTTGCCCTGTTGCATCAGAGAATTTAAAAGTCCAAGAACTACTATGCCCTGTGACTAATGATTGGGATTTGGACGCTATTCGTCTCTTGTTGCCTCATTATGAGGAAGAAATTAGGAAACTAATTACCAGTTCTGTGAAGTCACCAGACACTCTTGTGTGGTTACCTGAAAAATCAGGATTTTACTCTACCAAATCGGGTTACTCTTTATCTAAACAACTTGCGTTGCAGGAAAAGAGTAGCAGCTTCGAATGGAACAAACATGTCTGGAAGCCAAAAGTCCAACCTAAGCTGAACCTGTTTCTATGGAAACTTGTTGCTGGAGCTCTCTCGGTTGGATCAAACTTATCGAAAAGAGGAATTTTGGGAGCTGCAGGCTGCGTGCGATGTGGTGAACCTGAAGATGAACTTCACTGTTTCCTGAATTGCAGATTTGCAAAAGCTGTCTGGATGCTTGCGCCTTTCCCTAACCAGCCAAACAGCTCGTCCATTACATCCCCGCAGCTACTGCTCCAGATGCTAGACAAACTAGTGGATCTTCCCCCGACAGGACTATCTCTCACGCCTCTATCACCTTGGATCCTCGGGAACCTTTGGCTGGCCAGAAATCAACTACTGTTCCAAAACCGACTTTTCTCTGAAACAGAGGTGATAGCTAAGTCAATCTCTGATGCAAAAGCTTGGCAGGAAGCTCAACTGTGGATTCCCAAACAGCATAAGCCTGTGCCATTAAACAGACCCGTTGCCCAAGCTTCAGCTTCACACATCTGTTCTGTTGATGCGGCCTGGAACCCCCTTACCTGTTTAAGTGGTGCAGGCTGGATTCTTAAGGATGCTGAGGGAAGAGTTCTCTCTAAAGGCTCAGCTAACAGACCTTTTGTGCCTTCTGCTCTTGCAGCAGAGGCGTTAGCGATTAGAAGTGCTTTACATCACATTGCTTCTCTCGCTCATCATTCTACATTCCGATCTCTTTTGATCCGATCCGATTCACAAGTGCTCATCACGCTGCTCAAGACAGCTGGTAGCCATAAGGAGCTTAAAGGAATTCTTGTTGACATCTCTCAACTTAAGGAAGCCTTCTCCTCTATCTCTTTTGCTTTTATATCTAGATTGCATAACACAGAGGCTGACTCTCTTGCTAAGTCTGCTCTCTGTTTATTGTCTGTTGTAAACTCTTCCTCCCTTACTGGAGGCTAACTCTGCTACTGGGTTTAATATATCTATCGTTTGTTCAAAAAAAAATACCTGAGCTTCATTATAATCATTTCTCTTTTCAGAAAATGGCAGCAAAACTTAACACCATTGTTTTCTCCATTGTTGTGTTACATTTTCTTCTGCCTGCCCATATGCATGTAAGTAGTATTTGAACACTCTTTTTATATATTTTACCATCCATGTATTCTTCACTTCACTCACAGAGTCACATTCTTCTACTTTACTTCATACGTTGTGAATATACACAGTCTATACACTTGGAATCTCCTTCTCCACAACCACAACCACCACAGTCGCAACCATCGCATCACAATAGCTCTCAAGTGAGTTTCTCCGATTTCACACTGCTCAAGAGAGTTTCATGATCATCTACAACACCTTTTTTTAACATCCTTTGAATCCTCTTGTTGATTTTGACAGTACGGTACTACTGAAGGCAGTCTTCAACCTCAAGGTAAACCAATGACTAGTCTAATTTTCAATGAATTTTTGTTTGTGCTGAGTGCGATACTAAATTCCTTATTTATTCTGCCTATATTAGAGTGCGGACCAAGGTGTGGAGATAGGTGCTCGAATACACAATACAAGAAGCCATGTTTGTTCTTCTGCAACAAATGTTGTGCCAAGTGCTTGTGTGTACCTCCAGGTACTTATGGTAACAAGCAAGTATGTCCTTGCTACAACAACTGGAAGACTCAGAGCGGTGGACCAAAATGCCCTTAATATCTCCTCTTACTTACTCTGTGGCACAACCTCCATGTAATTTGTTAATCTATCTATAAGTATTGGAGGACTCTTGCATAATTACATCACTTCTCCGTGATTATGCAATGAATCACTTAAAAAAGTTTACAGCTTTAACAAAACATTTACTAGCCGTGAACCAACTACTTAAGAATTAAGATGTTTTAACTTCATCGCATTGTTCTTGACGCAGCAGAGAGTTGCTTCTTGAGATCAACAACTTCAAGTGCTTTCGATGCTAATTTCTCCTTTAGCTTTGCAGATGCTTCCTCGAACTTCCTGTTCATAAGTTCTAATTCTTGCACAGACTGTTTGTGCCTTAGACAGATTGCATCTAAGCGTGCTTGCGTCCCTCTGAGTCTCATTCTTAGCTTTGCCTTCTCCTTGTTTTCCGCAGCTGCATCCTGTAATCACATACAGCAAAAACATGGTTAAAACCTCTCGCTCACAATCTAGAAGGGCTCTCTTGTTAAACTGCAATCTTCTTCCATGGGTTCTTTTGGAGGAAAAAATAAATCTCAATCAATGAGATGAAAAAAAAAATTGGCATTACCTTAAACGGATTGGCTTCTTGGCTTGAGATTCTGGGAGTCAGTTCTTCAATTGGATTTTTTGCATTTTCAATCTGAAGGCAGTAATAAGGTTTTCGTGAGATGGTTACTACTATATCCGTAATAGAGTAGAGTCTGTGTTGCTGTAAACCAAACCTGCCGACAATATGATGAAGCAAGTTCCTTACTCAACTCCTCTATGCGAGATAACAAACCCTGGCGCTCACTTGTGACATAATTCAGCTCTCTCCGAAGTGTATCCGACATCTCGCAAGCACGTTGAACGTCAGACTTTAGAGTGTCGATATCAGAATTGAGAACCTGCAGGTGCATATATAAACTTTGCGTATAAAGCTTTGCATCTTTAACATAACAAATTTGCAAGTAATGCCATCTAGTTTTTAACCGGCATACCAAAAGTGTGAATACCATAACCAGAAAGTCAGGTGTATTGTCATCAGTTACATTACAAGTTTAGTTTTCTCACTGAGAAAAAGTAATATAACCTCTGCATCAGACGTTAAGAGAGAAAACCTTTTGCAAAACAATTCTTACCTTTTGAGATTGTTTACTCACAGCATCAACTGATCGAAGTTCATCACTCAATCTACTGATCTCCATAGACTTCTCCATGCTACAGGGGAATACAAAATACTGAATTCAGAGGAAGCTATATAGCATCAACTAGAGAAATACAGATCAACCAAGTGCCGGAAAGCTTAACAAGAATTTCTTCTGAGAGTAAAGGAGATAACTTTCTAAAGTACAAGAAACGAAAGTACAGACCTGCATTCTTTTTCCTGCTTCGCATTCTCCTCAGAACATCTTAGCCTATCAGCAAGAGTTACACATTCAAGTCGAAAAGATTCCAGCTCCTTCTTTGCCTAAAGATAGTAGGAGACAGAGAACTTAATGAGCATGATAAAAGGGGTTTCCCTTCAGAACATATGTCGAGAAAGGATTGGAAACCAATAATTTCTGGTAGTTGCTACAAGAAATTCACGCTGTTGATGGTTATGCAGAACATCTCATGGTAATTCCAAATTCACCACTCTAGTGTATAGATTCAAACAGATAAGATAAGCTATGCTTAAGAAAGTTTAACAAGTTGATAGTTCTAAAGGGTGACATCCAAAATGATGTTGCACGAAAAGTTCGGTTATTAATCTCACTATAAGAGATGCCTTGTTTGGAACATACCTCTGAAATTTCTTTAGATAGTGACTCGATTTGTATATTATATAATCTGATCGTTTCCTCCATGGCCTCTGTCAAAGCTTTTTCTTTCGAATTCCATATTGATTTCTCCTCCTCCATTTCCAAAAGTGAGTTCGCCAGGTGCTGAACGACAGAAAAAATTACTAGATTTACACAAACAAGAACTAAGTTCGGTATATGTCTTCAGGATCATCATACCATTGCTAGTTCTTCCTTTTCTTCAAGCAACTGTTTAAGATTGGTTTCTAGTTGTTGCTGATCAGAAGATGAGCCTTCAAGTCTCGCTTTCTGGAACAAAACTTAACAAAGGTTGAGCAAATGCATGTGTCTTTGAAAAACCTAACTGCTAAAAATTCAATATTAACAACATATGGATCAATCATCAATTGCATGAAAAGACGTACAAGCTCTATGACATCTTTTTGCAGATGTTCGAGTTGGGTATTTGAGTGCTCCAGTTTCTCTGTCAGAGCTCTAATTTCTGAATCTAAACCCTCATTTCTAGATAGTGTCTCCTCTTTCTCTCCACGTTCAGCAGCCAGCTCCTCTTCCAGGGAAGCGATTGTTGTTTCCATTTCAAAAGCAAGCACTTCAAGCTGTTTAAATTCTTCCTGATAAATGTGAAGTAGGAATGAGAACGAGCATTTCACTTAAACAGTAGTTATGTCCACCAAAAAACATTGATATGGCTCTCCACGGAGAAAAATACACCAAAAGATATAAACATATGCTCATGCAATGCTTAAACAATACCCAAAACTCAGCCAACAGAAAGAGCAATGGGATAATGATTTCGTACATTTAATTATTTCTGAAATTTCGACTTTGCATTTTCAACATTGGACAAGTTACCTAATACTAGAATGGTAAAAAGAAGATCATGCTGCATACAAATCATTGGTTAATACCTGCAGCGACTGGTTAGCACTTCTCTCAACATTAAGAGACTCGCGTCTTTTACCAGCAAAAGACTCATGTTTGCTGATGTCCCTCTCAAGGAGGGCCTTCTGGCTATGCAACCGTTTTAACTCTCTCTCAGCAGATGCTTTCTCAGCCTTCGAAAGGAAATTAGAATTATTTTTTTATCATTTAGATAAGTCATTGGACAAAAAATCTAGTACTATTCCAGTTAAGAATTATGATCCACCACGCACCTCTAGCTTGGTTTTATCTTGCATGGAATTCTTAAGTTTGGATTCAGTATCTTTTAGCTTTGTTTTCATCTTCTCAAAATCTTTTCTAAGGTTTTCCTTCTCTTTGGCCAAGGAAGAGGATGACAGACTCGCTATATCCTTCTCAAGACATTCTATGTGAGAGAGGAGATCTGACCTTTCCGACTCATGGTGTTCCGAGAGCATCTGACAAATGGTAAAAACAGCAAGTTACTTCTAACACTGGAAAGTTTGAGGAGAAACAAAAAAAAACTATTAAATTATATTTGAAGAAAATCAAAATACCATTAAGGACGTTTCATGTTTTTGAGCTTCCTGATTTAGATCTTCTATTTGGCTCTGCAGACCAGAACACTGCTCGTGCAAAAGAAGCTGAAAAGGAATCATGACTTCAGCTTTTACCACAAAATTACCATCAAATGTAAGGTGAAAGGTGAACAAAAGGGTCGGACCTTCTCATTCTCAATATTAAGAACTTTTTGTTTCAGACAAGATTGGACATTCTGGTAGCTGCTGATTTGTGAAGCATGTTGCTCAAAACTTTGGTGCATAAACAATGTCAAATCCTGCAGTGGGAATGTTTAGACAAAAGAGAAATATTGGGTTAAAGAAAATGCAAGTTAATATATCAAACAACGCAGAGTACTTACATGTATCAAAGGAGAGAAGAAAGCAAAATCTTGGAGACCCTCATCCATAACTGAAGATATGGTTTCCACTGATGCTTTAAGTTTTTGAAATTCAGACACTACAACATCAACTTCTGTTGCTACATTGACCAAAGATTTAAGATCCTCCTTCCCAATAACAAGTAAAAAAGCATTTAGGCAATGTCATACTGGTTGACAACAATAATAATCTGTTCTGAAGTTATCAGATTTAAATGGAATAAAATTGAAATAGAAACCAACATTTAGCACATGAGTAACATCAGACTCCTTGGATGCAAGTTGTTCACGAGCAATTTGGGCCTCTTCTCTTGCAGCATGAATCTCTTTTTCAATCTACAGAATTTCATAACATAATTATTTAACACTCTAAGATAGAAAACAAGTCTAGAAAGCTGACTGGAAATGCAAATTCCCTTTTAACTTGTTCAACAGAGGTATAAAGTGATAAAGAGGGAAGAATATCCATCATGTAAAAAGTAAGGTTACGGACAATTTAAAAATGATCTAATACCATTCACATTCAACAACATTTTTTGCTGTCTAGACTAGGTAATGTCAGATTTGGGAAGTTTAAGAAAGTAGAATACAGTATAAATTCATTCTCCTTAAACAAGAACATTAGTTAATAATAAGAGGTTATGTGATAAACAGTTCGCCTTTTCCAAAACCATGTAACGAACAACTAATCGATAGTTTAACAATTAAAAAAAAAAAAACTAAAATGATATATGGTCTTCATCTTTCCAACTAATTTCTTAAATTCATTACTCAAACATATTATGAAGCACAAAGACATTTATTTTTCCAGGTGGCTGGACAGAACAGCAAAGTACAATCAGTCAAAGAACCAAAGATACCTCAGCAAACTTTTCCCTGGCACATATATTCTGCTTAGTAGCAACCGTGACAAGATCGTCAAGATTTTGGTTGCTTGAAGACTTCTCCAATTCCAGCATGTTTATCTTTTGGACGGAACATATCAAGGTTAAGGAAAAAGCTAAAATGGAAGAAAGAGAAGCTACTTAAATAGCCACTTCAAGTTGTAGGTAAAGAAAACAAGACATGCACCTTCTCCTGGAGTTGCTTAATGAGAAGAATAGCTTCTGGATCTTTTAAGTTTACAACATGCTCATCCACATGCATGTTGGAAACGACTTCTAATTGCTTGCATTTTGCATCACAAGTTATAACATCTTCACCCAACTTCGCCTTAAGGCACTCAATTTGTATTTCACTGATAATTTTCTATTGAAGGTGTGGAGAAATAAGAAATCAAAGCTATAAATTACTGATATTGAGAAGGACAAACTCTTACCTCGGTTTCGTATTGCAAGAGAAGACCCTCATATTCCCTTTCAAACCTATCTAACTCGTTTTCAACCTATATAACATTAACAAATGCCAGCTTTACAACAAGAAAGCCACAAGATACATTCAAAAGAGGAACACTGACCTCTACGTGATTTTTCTGCCTGATTGATGGCTTCTTTCTGCTTGTGACATTCACTAAAGCACATGGATCTGGAAGTGCAGAATCTTCAAGGTATTCACTGATACTATCTTCGTCTTCCTCATTAATGTTATATAAAGGTTCATTTACCAGTTCCGAAAATGGAAGTAGTGGACCAGTCTCACGATCTGATCTTCCAGATTCAAGGGAGGATCCCCTTGACAAAACATTAGACTGGACCTGATAATAGAAACAAAAACGAAGTGTTTTTATGGCTGCCAAAGTCAACATTTTCTCATGTGTCTGCTGGTCATTTTGACAATATTCACCTCTGATGGGGAGTCTCGCGAAACCTTACTAATGCACCATGTATCCCTCCTCTTCCCCTGCAAGCGAACACAATATCAAATCTAAGAAGAAATAGGAAGAAAATGAAGCAAATATACTTATATAATTCACTCAATAGTATAATACTAATGTTTTCGGGAACAACAGCATTCAACAACAAAAGGCTGCGATCATTCTAATTAACTAGTCAAGAATTAGGTTAGTAGTGACATAGCATCTATAACAGAAAATGTTATGTGGTCTTTTCCAGTATGAAAGCAAATGTAAAGCATCTAGCCATGCTGCTCTCAATGTATGGAAAGATAAATGTATGGAAAAAAACAGGAGAAACCTTCTTATAGTGATCCTGCTCACGCTTCTCATCTCTATTCGAAAGGAGAACCATTGAACTCAAGTTCTTAATTTTTTTTGCTTGCTCCTGCAAAACTTTTTCTCTCTGAGCTTGTGCCTTCTTCTCCTCTTCTAACTCAAGTGCTATCCGCTCTCTCTCTAATTCAGACTGCAGAAAACAGGATATATCAAAAACGTACAAAAGAATAATCAACTAAGGAATTAAGACCAAAAATACCATACTTTCAACAAGGTGTTGCGCAAGTTAAGAATCTCTTCTTCTGAATGGTCAGAGTGAGAAGTCTGCGATAGAAAAGCAGATATTTAACCCACAAGAAAAGTAAGAAATAACTTTTAAGGAAAAAAATACTGAAAACGATTTAGAAACCTTTAGTTTGGATCTGAGCTCCTCTATCTCTTTCTTCTGACGCTTTAATAGAGCAGCGTCAGTCAATATCTGTATTGGAAACACAAGAATATATAGGATAAACAGACTTAGTTAGAAAATATATTAAACATAGAGAGAATAAGTGCAAAATGATTTGGATCCAACCTCATTAACATGGGCACAGTTAGTGACACGCAGTGCTCGGCTAGCAAATTGAAGACTGCTCTTGGTTTCATCTGCATGGATCTAAAATCAAAACAAAGATTAATATTGTTGACTGCCACAAAAAGAAAAGATGAAGACTGCTCTTGGTTTCATCTGCCTCATATTATCGATGATGTTTTAATACATACCGGTGCAAGTGTTATGTTGCAAATAATAGCTGTATTTGCATTTCCACCTAAAGCAGGCTGCAAGATCCTTGTAAGCTTGCTGTCTCGGTACGGAACATGACCACTGACACAACAAAAAAAAATGCCAATAAGATTAGAGACTTAATACTCACGTACCATAGCTTTGTTCCATAACAAAATTGACCAAAATACTTACCCTTGATTTTCTACTCCTTCACTCAACTTTTTAATAACAGTCCCAAGTGTCATCAAGCTTTTGTTTATATGTGAGCCTTCCTTCAATCTAACACCCTCTGCGCCGGTTTTTGCAGCCCGTTCCGAACCAGCTAAATCCACCAAATTCTACAAGTTAAAAGAAATAAGAAAGATGAAACAGAACATATTATGTTGCATATAAGGGGAACCAAAAAACACTGTTTCCAACAGAATAATACCAGAACAGAAACACGGACTGCATCACAAGCATTTCCAGCACCTTCATCTTGCATCTTCTGTCTACTTTCTATAATCTGTTTGAAGAAGCTGGCACGTCAAAAATCAAATTACATTCTAGAGAGCGCTAAGGTTGAGTGAATATATATTTACCATTCGGAAAATAGTGTGAGATCTGCTACTGTAAAGATTCATATTAGTCTCCCCAATATGCCGATGAGCTGAAATTCCAAAGACAAATGAAGATCACACTAAATCAATAGTAGCAAAACCAAGATTGAAAACAGTCGAGGAAATGCATGTGCAAAAACACAAGAACTATGTTTGGAAAGAACAAGATAGAGAAAAATAATGTAAAGAAGAGAGAAAGTACATTCTCCAAATTCCATCATTTCAAGGACTTGTTGAGGGGAAGCGACAATCTCTTCTCGTAATCCAGCAACAAATATTCCTTTCTAAGAACATTCAGAAAGAAAAGCACATGAGCATCGCTAGAGAATATGTTAAACAGGAATCTAAAGAAGACGTCGAAATACCTCCAAGTTTTCATGAATCTGTAGTTTTCGATGTTCAGGAGCCAACAAGTCGTTTATATCTTCGTTATAAATCTCGAGGTACGACATCCGCAACAGAAACTCCCTGCTTGTATCCTAGAGGGATCAAAAAACAGTTTTCCTTCAAATAAATAACTTGGCACAAATCTAAAAGAAACCAACTTTACAAGCATTGTCACACAAATACTAAAGAGTATTTAGGGAAGAACCTGATAAATAGTGTCAAACAAATCATGTACAGCGAGAGGGATGACTCCAGGTTCGATAGGTGAGCCTCGCATTGTATGCGTCTTGCCACTGTTGGTTTGCCCGTATGCAAACACAGTTCCTTTTCATTCAAAAAAAAAAAAAAAAAAAAAAACACAGTTCCTTCAATCGAACCTACAGATATGATTAAGCGAAAACGAAAATTGAAGCAAAAATTCGAAATGTCTAAGTAAATCAGCTAAACCCATGAGAAGAATTGTTAAGTTTTACCGTTGAACCCACAGACGGCGGCAGAAACAATCTCTTTCGTCCGTGCCTCATACACTTCGACGGTTTTACAATTTTCTCTAAAAATCCGATCTGCAATTGTAATTGAAAAGAGAGAGAGAGGAATTGGGCATCGAAATTGAAATTGAAATTACAAGCAGGAGAAGAAGAACGGGAAGAGAAGGGAGAAAAGAGTACCGAATTCGAAAGCAAGAGAAGAGTGATTGGGCATGAAAATAGAGTCGGAAGAGATCTTCCAGGGACTAGTCTTAGCGTCCTCCGGCGAAAGCGGCCGCGCTCTGACTGATACATGTATCCTCTCCATTCCTCCGATAGTCTTGTCCGGCGAACAAAGAAAGACCTAAAAACAAAACGCTCTCATCAATCCGTCTGCTCAAGTGTTCGAAATTAATTTTTCCCTCCCACTCCTCTACTGAAATCTGGTTCACCTTCAAAATTTCGAATTTTCAAAACTAAACCAAACCGGTTCGTTTAATTAACCAGACAGTTGCGCGTACCCCCATGCAATAATACGTACAAATTGTAGCTATTTATTTGGAATATGATTATTGATTAGAAATATATACAGTAATCTCATAAATCTTGTAAAAATACATATTTTTAGGCATAGATATTTATCCGTAAAGATCCTTGAAACACGTAACTATAGACAAACGAGAAAATCGTAACTATTCAGTTAATCTAACCAAAGTACAGTTACAACATTTAACAAATAAATTTTTAAAAAAATACAGTGAAACACGATAAAGTTAGTTCAGTAGGAAACTTCCAGGAAACTGCCAATAGGTAAATAAAACTCACACTTCACTTCACTCTCTCTCCCATTCATTTATTATTCACTTTGCTCACCTTTCTTCTTCCCCCATCAAATCACAAAAAACATTCTCGCACTATGAAACTCGCCAAACTTAATCCAAAACGTTTCTTCATCAGATCCAAAGATCGTTCCACGGTCTCTAAATCCCCTGCTTTTTCCTTCGGATCTGCTTCCTCTTCTTCCGGCCAAGACTGTATTAAAAACTCTTCCATCTCCAGCGACGGCGGTGGAGGCGGCTCCGTTACGCCCACTAGCATCCTCCCGGATGTTTCTTCTCCTTACTCCTACGTCGAGATCCTCCAAGCGTTTAAGCTGATCGACAGAGACAACGATGGCGCCGTCTCCAGACACGATCTTGAGTCTTTGCTTAGCCGTCTCGGTCCTGATCCACTCACGGAGGACGAGATCAGCGTTATGATTCAAGAAGTGGACTGCGACGGCGACGGTGCCATCCGTTTGGAAGAGCTGGCCAGCCGTCTCGTCTCTTCGGATCCGTCTCGTGACTCGGCCGAGCTGAAGGAGACGTTCGAGTTCTTCGACGCGGATCGTGACGGTTTGATCTCAGCTGAGGAGCTGCTAAGAGTCTTTTCGACCATCGGAGATGACCGGTGCACGTTAGATGATTGCAAGCGCATGATTGCTGATGTTGACGAGGACGGTGATGGTTTCGTTTGCTTCACTGAGTTCTCACGGATGATGGATCTTCAGCGTTGATCTTCTCCTTTATTTCACTTTTTTGCTTACTCTGCTTTTTTTTTCTTTTTGGTTTGTTGGCTATGGAGCTCTTTTTGCCCTTGTTTTAAGGGTTATTTGTTTGGTTTCTTGAGAATTAGGGTTCTTTTAACGTTTATGTTTATATTTCTGGAATCTGAATGCAGAATTGGTGCAATATTGAGACTGATCTTTTCACTTTTTTTATGCCTTCTCTCTGTTTTTACATTGCTTATAATTGGCTCAATTTACAAATGTTTCTTTTGGCAAAAATCTATGTCTAAAAATTTGTTAGATCTAATCCTATCCTTAGATTTGAGAATTTACAGAGTTTGCAGCTTTTAGTTAATTGTCTTTCTTGGGAAACACCTATCTTTTACTAATAGGTTGAATTCATTTATATGCCACTAATAGAGTTGAAAACATGTGAGAGGCACCAGAAGTTTCACTAGGTCTTTTTAAAATTGCACCATTAAAATTGGAAAAAGAAAAACAATGGTCCAAATATGTCAGATTCCTTAAAGGCATGTTCTTTGATTGCTCCATTGATCACTAGGTCTTTTTAAAATTGCACCATTAAAATTGGAAAAAGAAAAACAATGGTCCAAATATGTCAGCATGTTCTTTGATTGCTCCATTGAATATGTAAAGATTCTTTTTTGTCCAAATATCTCTTTTTTCTTTTTTCTTTTTCGTTGGACTTCCATTTTTACAAAATGTTAATTTTGGCTGTCTTAAAATATTAATTAGCCAAACTGGCCATTTTAACGCAGCTCGTCTGTGAATCGTATGATTCCGTTTGATATCGAATATCAAGAAAATTTTAATTTTTATAAACGTTTGGTTAAATAAGAATATGGAGAGGAGAAATGCATCGTATAAATTTCGTAGATGGAATTGATGTAATGGGGGAGGAGATAATAATGAATCCATCAAGGAGTGCTAAATAAGTATTTGTATCCCTAAAACAATTAATAACAACGAAAAAAACAGATATTATTGCAAGGAAAAGAAAAGAAAAAGTTGCATGAATATATGAATTCAGATCAGAATTTGGAGGTTGATCATGATAAAGAAGGAGAGTTTCGAGTAGAAGAGGCATGAGGAGGAGGAGGAGGACGACGATGACGCCTTTTAGCGTAACAGCTGCAATATCCATTATAACAAATAGGCATCTTTCCAGTGTTCTTGCATCTTGGAATCCCAATCTCCACACAGTCTCTGTCTGTTTGACATATATCTCCAACACTCATTGTCACCATGCCTGTCCAATTAGTATTAACATGCTTAAATAGGATTGAAACTGGAACTTCTAAGTTTTTGACCGATCGAGATTAAAAGATAAATATTGCTTACACGACGAGACAAGGAAGAGGATGACAAAGAATGCTGATATTTTCTCCATTTTTCTTTTACTAGTTTATGTTTTTGATTTGAAGATGATTTTTGGATATACATAGGACGTGATAGGTGTCCCCTTCTATTCTATGTATACAACTCGTGATTCATGGTTTGGTCAAAAGTAACATTTATTTCCTTGATGAATTTTTTCAATCAGCGGTTAATGAAGTTTCCAAAATGTGATTTAGAGTTTACGGGAGAAAACCATTTCAAGAAAGTCTCATAACTTAAATATAATATATCTTGATTCAAATTGATCTCCAAATCATCCTAAATATGAAAACTTAACTATATTGAAACTTTCATTTATCTCTTGTCATCTTTGTGTGGCCATATGTATCAATTTTGGCCGGTTCCAAATGTGTTTTAATTTAGAACGAGAGTCATATGTTTTTTAAAAAAATTTAAAAATATTGCAATAAAAATGAGTAAACCATAACAAAAAGACGTGGTTGGTGTGTGAAATTTCAAACAATGAAAGAGACTTGAAGGGAATCATATCTTGGGAATTTTTTTTGGTGTTTTGATTTTGAACATAAGGTTTTAAGAAAAAAACACTTGAATTCTCATGAAAATTTTAAAATAGTATATATAGCAAGCTAGTTTCTTTTTGACACGTCTGAAGTGAGAGGAGGTGACAAGTATCGGACGCTGAGGTCTTTCTCTCTGCTTACTTGATATATTTGCTGAATTCAAAACTCCAAAGTAAAGTATAAACGAGAATCTCGAGGAAGACGAAGAAGCCATAATTATTCTCTTTGAAGAAGAAAAAGAAAGAAAGAGCTAGAGAAGAAAAAACAAAAACAGCAATGGGAGGTTCTTCTGTATTTGGTGCAGGGAGATCGGGGCAGACTATAATGGTGGCTCTCGTTCTTATGGTTGGATCATTTTACACTGGCTCTCTCTTCGGAACCAACCAACCCATTTACCTCTCTCAACCTTCTTCTTTTTCTGGTCCCTTCTCTCTCGTTATCTCCTCTGTTCTCTCCTCTGTTTTTTATTCTTCAAAGTTTTTTTTCTCTGCATGCATTTGGATTTAATTAAGCTTTGGTCTTTAGATGCCAAATCACTAAAACCTCCCCTCAGAATTAGAGTACTTCTTATCATTTTTTTTTGTAAATTTAACATAGTGAATGTGATGTTGTTGTGTTTGTAGCTTCTTCCAAACTTGCAAACGAAATCAAGCTTACTTACCGGACATTACCACTAGTCATACCGGAAACTGGGGTGAATGTATGTCCAGTGGAGTTCAATGAGTATATCCCTTGTCACAACGTCACTTATGTGCATCAGCTGCTTCCCAGCTTGAATCTCTCTAGAAGAGAAGAGCTCGAAAGGCATTGCCCGCTGCTCGAGCAGCGCCTCTTTTGCTTGGTACCTCCGCCAAATGATTATAAGATACCTATAAGATGGCCAACCAGTAGAGACTATGTGTGGAGAAGTAATGTGAATCATACTCATCTTGCTCAAGTTAAAGGTGGGCAAAACTGGGTGCATCAGCAAGGCCAGTTTTGGTGGTTCCCTGGTGGTGGTACTCATTTTAAGCATGGTGCTGCAGAATACATACAGAGGTATCTATATATACCGTGTGAACGTTTATGTCTAATGCCATTGCACTGAATTTTGCATGTTATCTTCAGGTTGGGGAATATGATGACTAATGAAACAGGTGACTTACGTTCAGCTGGGGTGGTACAAGTTCTTGATGTTGGCTGTGGAGTTGCCAGCTTTGCGGCTTATCTTCTTCCTTTAGGTATACAGACTGTGTCGTTTGCTCCCAAAGATGGTCATGAAAACCAGATTCAGTTTGCATTAGAAAGAGGCATCGGTGCAATGATATCTGCTGTTGCCACCAAACAAATGCCTTATCCTGCTGCCTCGTTTGAGATGGTCCATTGTTCGAGATGTCGCGTTGACTGGCATGCAAATGGTATGTGAACAAGTTGACTTCTGCTTGCAGTGATAGCTTTATGCTGGCGTTTTCAGTATGTGTTAATGATAATATGTTTCCACATGATTCCTCAGATGGCATCTTACTTAAAGAAGTTCATCGTCTTCTCCGACCCAATGGATACTTTGTGTATTCATCACCACCAGCGTACAGAAAGGATAAAGAGTATCCTATGATTTGGGATAAATTGGTCAATCTAACTAGTGCAATGTGCTGGAAGCTCATTTCCCGGCAGGTACAGACTGCAATATGGATTAAAGAAGAGAATGAGGTGTGTCTTAGGCAGAATACAGAGCTAAAGCTCATTAGTTTATGTGATGTGGAAGATGTTTCTCAACCATCATGGAAACTTCCTCTTAAAGATTGTGTGCAAATTAGTGGACAAACACAAGAGAGACCCTCTTCTTTGGCTGAACGTGTTTCTGCGTATCCTACGACTCTAAGAGAAATAGGTACATTTCTTATGCTCAAAATCGTTGAAGAGGTGGTGGCATTGTGTTCTGTTAGATTTTTCTAACCACTTTAGTTGGAAAAAAACTTTCATTCAGGCATCAGTGAAGATGAGTATACATCAGATACAGTCTTCTGGAGAGAACAAGTTAATCATTACTGGCGGTTAATGAATGTCAATGAGACTGAAGTGCGGAATGTGATGGACATGAACGCATTCATTGGTGGGTTTGCTGCAGCTATGAATTCGTATCCTGTTTGGGTAATGAACATAGTACCTGCTACCATGAATGATACCTTGACTGGAATTTTCGAGAGAGGCTTAAATGGCGCTTTCCATGATTGGTAAGCTGATAGAGTACTTCTAGTCTATCAAAACACTTTTGGTTTCTGATCGTTGCCAAGCATCATCACCAGTTTAACTATTTTAAATATTGTGTCTTAGGTCTGAGCCTTTCTCAACATATCCACGCACGTACGATTTGCTGCATTCCGATCATGTCTTCTCTCACTACAAAAGCTACGGAGATGGTTGTTTGCTAGAGGACATCATGCTTGAGATGGACCGCATAGTTCGCCCTCAGGTACCTTTGGTGACATTTCTGTTGAATCAAAAACACTTGTGGTCTGGTCTTTATCAGATTCATATATTAATGAGAGTTTTATGGGGTTGGCCAGGGATTTGTGATAATAAGGGACGAGGAATCTATAATATCAAGGATCCGAGAATTGGCTCCAAAATTCTTGTGGGAAGTGGAAACTCATCAGCTTGGGAATAAAGGCAAGAAGATAACAGAGCCTGTTTTGTTTTGCAGAAAGAGATTCTGGGCAATCATTTAAATAGACTGGCTCTGCTGCTTCATTTTTGTTAATAGGTTACAACAATGACCTCTTGGGTCTTATTATATATATTAGGTGGGATCTCTACTCTACTCTTTACAAGTGCCTTCCAACTTTTGTTCCTTCCTTGATTTTGGTGCGTCTCTCTGTTACATGTTTTTGAAGAAAAATCTAATCTTATCTTCATAATGACATAATTCATAATGTAATCAACCCAAAATATTTACATATATTTGACTTAGTACTGGTTCTGTCCAAACTCAATCAAAACCAGATTGCAACTGGAGGAGTGTTTAGTACACTAGATTGCTCTATACAACAGACATAAAAGATAAGAGGTTCTACCTCAACAAAGAGATAATGTACTATGAGACCCATCTGTTCTCGTAGCGGTTAAGAGAGAACGATGATGACTGAACCTCTGCTAACTGGAAAGGATCCGGTTCGATTCCATAGTCCGTTAATGGTCTATGCTCGAGCACATTGTCGTGGTTCTTCACAAACTCGGGAATTTCCACCTCGCCTTTCTTAATATCCTCCCAAAGGTACTGCAACCTGCTCACGTACTTAATCTTCCAGTACAGTCTGCAATGTTGAAAAAAATATTGTTTTGATTAAAACAGTTTAAAACAGTTAAGTCCACAGCTCTTGATTCAAAAAAAAGTAATCTAGATTTCACAACCTTTTGAAGTTGCTTTTCACACATAGAAGCTCAAAGTACATCAAATTCCTCGACATGAGTTTAGATCATGAAAGCTTCAAACTTTTTCGATTATGTAAGTTCGAGCCTCGAGGTTACAACTTAATCTAGTGATGCAATTCTGGTTATGTAAGGTTGAAATCACTTAACAAATCTACTGATGCATATGAAAAGAAATGATTACCCTCCACTTAGAAGAAGGCGGCCAAGAGTGGCGATGACAAGTCTTGAACGAAGACCAGGGTGGATGAAATAAACGACTTGAAGCCTGTCTTTGATATCTGAAGGAAGGTCCTCGTAAATCCATCGTAAGATGGTAATGCCTGGTGAATTATCGTCCCTTTGCACTGTGCTATGCATGTAAACCAAGCAGAACGGTCCCTCAGGACATTGGTTGCTTATCTTCTGGAAAATATACTTCTTCAGCCGCTCTACACTCACAACACGAGCTGCGTATCATATACAAATAAATCAGTTAAAAGATGAATCAAATCAAAACTTAATCCGAGGAGGAGGAAGTACAGAAGACCAATAAGAGACAGAAGAGAGGAGACCTTCTGATAATCAATCTACGATAATGAGTTTACTATGCGAAAGCTATAACATGTCCACCATGGAGACATGAACATGCGTTATCTAAATTTAACCAAACGGATCATCATGAGCTTACAAAGAGATATTTAAAGTAAGCAAGAGTACCAAAAACGCTAATTGAATAATCAAAACAAGCCAAATCAAATAATCTCTATGAACTGGCAAAGATAAGAAACCATACAAGCATGTCCTCATAACCAAGTTAGAAACCTTAAACACAATAGAGACCAATTTTATTAAGTGCATAGAGGCGACTAGTGTCAGTGTTGGTTACCAGGAAAATACTTTCCGACGATGCGGAAAATCCGATTACCGGACTTATCCAAGCCATGGAGTGTAAAGAACTGGAGAAGATCGAGATCGGAGAAATCTTCATCTACTAAGTATTGAGGACAATCATGCCAATTCTCTTGTTCATCATCAACCTCATCGCTTCTCGTTAAGAACGGTCGAGCGTCAATTCCTAGATCAGAAGCCAGCACAACCACCGAAAATTCTTCCGCCATCGCCGGAATATTCCTCCTCCTCCTCACGGATCTTCCTACCTTTTTGTTTCTCGTCGGCTTAAGGATTAAAGGGTTTGACAAAAAAAAAAGGATTAAAGGATGTTACTAACATGCGGGAGAGTGCACAGAAAGAAACGTGCGACTGAACACGTGGCTAAATCTAAACAAGTCTTATGAGCTTGCTTTTTAAACATTCCAAACGTCGCCGTGTTTAATAGTCTGCTACATTCTCAGCTACGTCTCCGATCCGGCGAGTTTCGATTCGATTTCCGACAAGCCAAACTCTTTGCTCCTAATCAGCAAAGAAGGTAAGCGTTTGATTTTATCGAAGTCGAAAAAACCGAATTTGGTTTTGTACTTCATCAAATTTGAGGTAAGTGATTGAACAGAGTTTTTTTTTTGTCAGGTCTTAGAGGTGAAAAATGGCGACTTCGCGTTTACAGATGGAAGGAGATGACTCTGTAAATCTACACATTACTCACTCCAACCTTAAAAGCTTCTCTGCGGATGTTCGTTTCTCTCCGCAAGTGAGTCTCGTTTTAAGACACCAAACAATTCCAACTGCTTTTTATTTAAATGTAGTGCTATCTCAAAAACTATTCTTTGGATTTTGTTCTGTAGATGAGTGTAGAAGCTGTGAAAGAAAAGCTATGGAAGAAATGTGGTACATCTGTTAATGCCATGGCTTTAGAGCTCTATGATGACACTGGCTCAAAAGTTGCGGTTCTCAGTGATGATACTAGACCCCTTGGTTTCTTCTCCCCTTTTGATGGGTAACTTCTGTTTTCCCCATAGCTTTACAGATTGCCAAAAGTTTGCTAATTTTAGAGAACTTGGAGCCAAGTTGACTCTATGATTCTCTGTTTAGTTAGAGTAATCTTGATAAGGCTTCTTGTATTATCAGTTCATCTGATTGCTATTTTCTGCTGCTTTCAATAGGTTTCGCTTACACATCATAGATCTTGATCCCTCTTCGGTCACAACTGGAGGCTGGCTTGAAGATACGTCATTAGTTGAGAAGTATACCATCTCGGAAGATGATTATGCGAAACGAACTGGTAAATTCTCTATTACGTAAATTGGTCTCTCAAAGGAGACAAGTTTGTGTATCAAGTGACTTTGAATATATGTCGGAGCACTGCTAATTTCCTCTGATGGTTTTATGCTCTTCTTTTCATATTCCAGACAGTTTTAGGAAATTCAAAGAAAAAAGGGTGTCTCAAAATCCTGCTGCTGCTGAGGCTAAGGTATGACAAAACGATTATATCAATATAAGCCAAACTATGTTTTTTCTTGTCAAACTTTCAGCGGAACTGAAGCTTTAGCTTAGTCACTGTGAGAAGTATTTGGGGTAGACTAAGTCATTCAAGAATACAAATGTTCTTAATTTCTTATCTTCTTCCAATTTGACCCTTTCAACAGACGAAGGAGAACTATATGGAAGATCTCTGTGCAAATATCAAGGTTGTTTTTCCTTAAACTGAATCAGCCAGTTTCTTGTTAACTTTGTGAGACCTGACCTCTCTGATTCTGCTCTTCTTTTCACCTTGTAATGCTTCTAATTTATTTAACCATCACAATAAAATATTAAGGTGGGAGATAGATGCCAAGTTGAGCCTGGGGAGAAAAGAGGAATGGTCAAATATGTTGGACGAGCAGAGTCGTTGGGTCCTGGCTATTGGGTTGGAATTCAGTATGATGAACCCCTTGGAAAACATGATGGCATGTATGTTATTTCTTTCGTCTTGATGCGATTTTGTTTTCTTTTTTTTTTTTTCTTTTTTTTTTTTTTTTTTTTTTTTTTGGACAAGCGATTTTGTTTTCATTAACGTTAAATTCTAGTAAAATCCCTTTTTGCTTCTGGAACCTTGATTTCAGTTGCAGCTCACGTTTCTGTGCTACACTTTTTCTTAACAATCTGTGGAAGCTAGGTTTTCAGATCCCACATATTTAATACTGGCTTGCATTTGCAGGGTGAAAGGAACAAGATTCTTTGAGTGCCCTCCGCTTCAAGGTGGTATTGTCAGGCCCGACAAAGTCAAGGTATTTTGTTTTCTTTTAAGTACTTGGCAGCTCAGTTGCCTAATTCACTCTGCCTGTGAAACGACCTATTACATTTCATAGAACCGAACTGGTCAGTGATTCAGCATCCCTAGTATAGTAGAATGTGCTGTTTCTCAAAAAGATGTCAACACAGGTTTTACCTTTTCGAGTTGTTAAGAGTCTGGAGTCCAATATTAGTTAGCTATAGAACTAGCTAATGGGAAGTTAGAACTAGCTAATAGGAAGTTAGAACTAGCTAATACCTAGGGTAATTCCACTCTCAACCTAACTGGGCGAGTTTAACTCTGGACATGGTTTGGACCTGTATGGATTTCTTAGCAGTTAAATTCGTTAAGTAGTATGAATCAGAACACCATTTCCTGCTAGTCATGTACTTAATATTGGCTTGCAGGTTGGTGATTATCCGGAAAGAGACCCCTTCGAGGAAGATGAAATATAAGATTTTCACGGAAGCATCAAATCAGTAACTGGATAAGGAGGGGAAGGAGTTTGAAAAATCTGCTTTTTGTGTTCAACATCCACTCTTTCATCTTATTATTACATTTGGCCTCTAGTTTTGATTTACAAGAGTTGGTGAAACACAATGTATTGATTTTAATGAAGAATAACTAGTAACAATTTGAGTACACAAGGATTCAGGTTTTGATCTGTGGTTTATACACAATTTTCCGACGACTTGCAATGTGGATAGACCCCTGGGTCAAGAACCAAAGAACAGATATACTTATATGTCTAAATTCTGGTCCTTAATCTCTATCTTGTACCAAATTGTTGATCATCTTAGCAAGAGGAACAGTCCCTTTTGTCATGATCTCCAATCTTGAGGTATTGGAAGCGTGCGAGAAGAGTGACAACCCGAAGAACAACAATTCCGGAAGAAACAGCCTGGAAGACAAGAATCCGTGCCAGTAATGAGGTTCCAGATCAAAGAATGCATCAAAGAACCTTCTAGTAGCTTCTAAGTCGAGTTTCAGCAGAATATCCATTCCAAAACAGAAAAATTCCCTCTGTCTACGCCGTTCAATAGGCCACAAGTCTCTCCATACCTCAGCAGAGAGTTGATCTCCTCTAAGGCTGCTACTACTAGGTGAACCAAGGTATCTCACAATGGCTTTTGCGACTATTGGTGCGGCTGCAAGAGTCCTAGCTACCATGTAACCAGTTGAAGGATGAACCATTCCTGCTGTCCCACCAATCCCGACAACCCTTTGAGGTAAGACTGGTAAAGGACCGCCCATCGGGATCACACAACGCTCGTCTTCCTCAATCCTCTTCACATTGATCCCCAAATGTTTCAGTCTAGCAACCATTCTTTCTTGGATATCTTCCATACGCAGACCGGGTCTAGCAACTAAAGAAGTTTCTTCAAGAAATATTCGGGTGGAAGAAAATGGCATAGCGTACAAGAATGTTGGGATCTTGCTGTTCCGTTCTTTAAGCTCAGGATATGAGTCCAGATGTGTATCTCTCCAATCCATGAACACCATTTTGTCGACATCAAATGGGTGACTGTCGACCTCAGCTATAATCCCATAAGCCACTTGGTACCCGGGGTTGTACGGTTTGTCGTACTGAACCAAGCATCGGGAAAACCCCGTGGCATCAAGAACCACCGAAGCCTGAATCTTTACACCGTCACTGCAAACCACAGTGGAGTTTGCCTCCTCGTGAACCACATTAGTGACCTTAGACTGATGAAACTTAACACCGTTGGTTATACATTTCTGAAGCATTTTGGATTTGAGCTGTTTCCGATTAACTCTCCCATAAGGCCGGCTTAAATCCTTCTTGACACCTTCATCGATGTAGACAACAGCACCAGACCAGGTGGTATCGAGGCAGTCAAGTAAGTCCATAGCCTCAAACTCATCAACCCAAACACCATAGTTGTTAGGCCATATGAGCTTAGGAGAGGGATCAATGGAACAAACGGAGAGGCCAGCTTCAGAAACCTGCTGAGCCACGGCTAAACCAGCAGGACCTCCACCAACGATAGCCAAATCAACAACTCGACTCTTGGAAGTGTCGTACATAGGAAGCTCAAAGTCAAGATTCTCCTTTTTAGTTTCAGGAACAAGATCCAAAAGAGCAGCACCAGAGCCAATTTTGATAGCCCTTCTCTTCAAACCAAGCCTAACCCTTGAAGGGTTTGGATTGTTACTGCCTAATCTCTCAAACCCATGAAACTGAGGGACGAAAAATTCGAGCTTGTTGGGTGTTTTCAACAAAGTATCCATCGAATTCCCCCAAAAAACCGAAATGAATACCAAAAGATGGAGATATAATCCAAAAAATCCCAGAAATCTAACCAGAGGGATTGAGAAAACGGAGTTATATTTCCATAAGAGAAAAGATGAAAGATGGCCACAAAACTTACCCAGAAGCAGTAAGCTTTATGGAGATGGAGACAATTATCTTCTTCTGAGAGAGAGAGAGAGAGTCTGTTTATGTGTATGTGTTTGTGGTATGAGGAGTCCTTTTAGTGGGGTCTGTTCCATTTATGTGTTAAAAATCCATTATCTATTTATTATCTTTCGGTTTTGTGTGACTTTGGTTTGTGTTTTTGGGTCACTAGTCTCAGTCACTACCTCATATAACCAGTTAACCACCACTAGCTTTTACGCATTAAGGACATGGTTGTTGAATTTTTGATTCATTATCCTCATTCAATGTTTCTTCATTTGCTAAATTAGTGTTTCATTTTTTTTTCCTTTCTTTCAGATTTATAAGATAATAGTATGAATTTGGATTTTTATGCATATGACCAAAAAACATGCTTTTATGTTTATAATGTTTATGTATGACCAACTTTTGCTTTACAATAAATTTTATAGTTTTTATCTAATCAGCAATTTCGATTCAAAATCCTAAATTCCAAGATTATAATGTGAATTCATAGTTTAGAAGCTTTAGTTACGAGATTTCTACACAATTATTTTTAATATGCAATATGCAATTCTGGTCTCAACCCGTGATTTTGCTAATCTAACGCAAAATTTTCATACAATACGGAAATGTGCATGGTTTAACAATTTTTGTGTTTTTATTTGAACATGTGATGTGATTAAAAAAAAAATAAAAAATTCTCAGTCATTTTAACTTAAAAAGAAAATGGAAACTATATAATCCCACAAAATCTGTGAATTATCTTCTTATTTATTATTATTAACATATTTTTGAAAGTATATATACTTTATGTAAAAGAGATCCTTTAGAGCAAATGAAAATGTCGAGAGCCTGAATAAAAAACATACACTAGGGTTTTGGCCAAAAGATGGAGAAACAAGGAAAAGAGAAGAAGATCATCAAAGTCTACCAAAGAAGAAGAAAACAATCCGAACAAGGATTTTCATTTCCTGTGGATCTAGCCTCAGAGATACTCTTGAGGCTGCCTGAGAAATCTGTTGCGAGGTTTCGTTGCGTGTCCAAGCCTTGGTCATCACTCACCACCGATACATATTTCATCAGCTTGTTCAAAGCTCGGTCCCCACGGCTTCTACTCTGCTTCGAAGCAAATGACAAGCTCTTCGTTTCCTCGATTCCGCAGCATCATCAGACTTTTGATATTTGGAACAAGTCTTACTCATCTTCTCAGCCTATTGATCGTTATCAGATGGAACTGATCTCAAAATATCCTAATTGCTTCAACCCTACGGAATCTGTCCAGGGCTTGATCTGCTTCCAAAAATTAGCAACGCCAATTGTTTGGAACCCTACTACGAGACGGTTGCTAACTTTACCCAAACCCGATGGGAGCTGGAAGGAGATAACAATATTTCTAGGATACGATCCAGTGGAAGGTAAACATAAAGTAATGTGCATGCCTTTGTTAAGAGCTTCTAGTGACTGTAGGGTGTTAACATTGGGGTCAGCTCAAGAATCATGGAGAACGGTCAAAACTATATATAACCATCGTTCTGACAATCATACTCATGGTAAATGCATCAAGGGTGTTGTATATTATCTAGCCTTTGTTTATCGTTCGGATGTTGAGGTTGTAATGAGCTTCGATGTCAAATCTGAAAAATTCGGTAAGATACGGTTACCGCCATCGGATGTTCACAAGATTTTTCTGATGGTTTATCAAGACAAGGTAGCTTGTGTTGATAGAAAACCAAACATGAATGATGGTTTCAGATTGTGGATTTTGGAAGATGCAAAGAAACACAAGTGGTCGAGTAAAGACTTCCTTGCACCTATTGAACACTTTAATGAGAGTTTGGGCTGCTATTCCCTACTAAATGGTTTCACTCATGCTGGTGAGTTTATATATGTAGTAAGCTCGTTCAAGAAATCGTCTTATATTTTGTTTTGTGATCCGCTGAGAAACAGCTTTAGAAGATTCGAGCTTAAAGGAATCACTGACGACGAATCTGTGCTCAATAATAATGACCGTAGCCAGATTTATACGCTCCATGTTTTCCTGAATCACGTTGAGAGTCATACCTCTTTGTAACAAATACTTCCTTTTGTTGTTTTCTTCTTCTTCTTCTTGTTTTCAGATACTTATAATTAGTTTTTGCAAGTTTTATGATTCTTCTTTTTATTTTCTTATGATTTCTCGGTCCTTATTTTGACTCTATCCTCACCCTTCACAACAATATCCAAAACACTTGTATCAAAAAAAAGAAACATTAACAGTTGTAACAAGTATTAGTTAAGCTAAAACACAAGAGAAAAGAGGCAAAATCACACACTGAATACTACTTAATCTTCTTACTCTTATTACTACTAACTTCAAGCTAGAGTAAAAATGTTAACGGAAAGCCCTTTTTATACACCCCCCACCAAATGGTCTTTGCAAGTAACACATCAAAAGCTGAATCTTTTATACACAATCGCGTGCCCTACTTTATGAGTAATAATAAAGCAAAACCTGCATAGTTTTCAGAAACCAAAGATGATGACGATGATGTTAGATCCTCTGCACATTCAAAAAGCACTACATGAGATTGAGGCAAATGAGCATTCTTCTTACCTGTTACCTAACTACTACTCGCTCCCGATGTTATCGTAACTGAAACCTTCGGATATGGTATCCAATCTCTTGTTGTCTCCTGCAAAAACACATAGTTACCATTATCACCTTTGTTCTTTTGCCTCAATACTTCTACTTTCTCTAAACCAGCGAGTAGTGTATTGTGTTTTGATATTCTCTCACCTTGATATTCTCCCCTTTCACGGGAGTCCACGAAGTTTTCAGCATTCGGGACAAGGAAGGGTGATCTATCGTAGCTCTCCAGAATCTCTGAAATCCACAGGAAACTTATGGTTACAAATAATGAATCCTATGAGCTGTTTGCAGGCCTTGCACTAGAAAACCACTAATAACTCCTTGGTTGTAAGAACAAAGAGAGAGAGAGAGAAAGGAGTGGAGAAAGACCTGAGCTCTGGGAAAAATCAGCTGTCAAATCAGAGAGGCTGAAGTTCCGAGGAATTTGGCCTAAGAACCCAAATGTAGAAGCTTCTGCATCAAGAAGTGGATCACCAAGGGGTTGGTTGTTGGAATCGTTGCTGAAATTAGGAAGCGAAGTATCTCCAACTGTGGGATGTCCTTCCAAGGCATTCCGTTCACCACCATACATGTATGAAGCAGGGTTTGCAAAGGCAGTCTCGGACTTGATCATTCCGCCATTCATTCCTTGCATCATAGGCATGTTTGTGGTCTGCGATGAGAGCATATTTGGAGAAGCATCAACTCTCCTAGCATGGGTTGATATGTTTATAGATGAGGGAACATTGAGTGTTGAAGAGCCATTGAGGAATGCATTAGACAAACTAGAAGCCATAGGATGACGTGCACTTTCAGACTTCAAGGACTGATCAGTGTGCTCAGAGGGATAGCATAATGGTTTCTGGTTCACTGTTAAGATAATTACATCGATTAGCTATTTAATTTTCAAAACTCCCTCAAATTTCAACCAAATAGAACATAATTATTAATCACAATGGAGAGAGAAAAATACTATTCATCAGTCGGTAGCTGGTACTTGAAAGAATGACTAATCTAAAATGTCATGAAAGGAAGAGAAATTTAAGATGTGCTGCTGACAGACATATCTTGATTCATTCTAAGAGACGTGATTACCTACTACTGAATTCATATTTCATCTTAGAAGCCAATTCATAAAGAGTTTGAAGATGTACTTCTACAAAGAAATCATACATTGTGCACATGAAGAAGGAAACTATGAAAAGAACTAAGGCAGAAAGTGGAAGCCAGAAAACAAGAAAAGGTAAATGAGGACTCTTTTCTACAACAATTTGACCAGAAATTCATATCACAATTATACTAGCAACAAAGAGAACCTAAAATGCAAAAATTAAATCCATCTCACTCCAAAAGAATCTTACTTGATTGAATATGAGAACCATTTGTATTTTGGACAGAAGCAACACCAGTTGGATGAATCTGACGCATGTGGTGAACTTGCTGCTCAAGCAACTTGTTGAATTCCATTATCTGGTGTTTAACCATTAGCCTAAGATAGTAAGCCTTGAAAAACTCCCGATTCTCTTCTTCAAGCTTCTGCCAAACTGTAAACCAAAAAGGAAAGCATACTGGCTTAAATTTTTGGTCAACCCTGCAGTAGGGGGACAATCCCCATCTTTATCATCGTTACTCATTACAATACATTTTCTCTCATATGTCATGATCTATTGTTATGCAGTATTGTTGTCAGCCCCTTTTCCTGCTTCTTAGGAGTTTTTATTTCTAAGCACTCCCTAACTCTGTTCTGACCAATAAGACCTACTAGGTGACTCTTGAACCAAACAAATACATAAAATTTCAGTTTTACGCAACAACTAAATCATTCCCCCATGATAATTGGCTACGGATGTCTTGAACTGGCAAATAAACATGCCTTCTAATTCAAAGTAGAACCATCAGTGAAAATGGATTTACACATTCAGATGCTAATTTGATTTTAAAAACAGAGTACTTAATGGCTACCTAGTTCTGTGAATCCAGGCTCGATTTTAGCCTGCTCCAGTAGAGTATCCACAACTTCTTTCTGATTCATGTAAAGTTGGAGGCATCGTTCTATAAGGTTTTGAACCTGAAACAGCAAACAACAGGCCAGAAAGTAAGCTTTATTGAGCTTAAGGTTCGACATGGCAGTTGGAAGGGGAAGACTTCAATTTTAATTTTAGCAGAGTCACTCAATGAATTTAATAAGAACCTTCATCATGATCTAAGTTGCTTTTGATTGTAGTGGGTGTAAAGTATCTCTAATTAAAAGCTCTAACGCTCTTATTGGCTATCAAACATATGCCTCATTTCTACCATTTTGATAAAGGTTCTCACCAAAGTATTTGAGAGGGTAGCAAAGAAAAAAAATGGCTATCTCTCCATCACTAAGGGGGAATTCAACAATATTAGCACACAACGGAGTTGTAAATATGCAATCTCCATGAAGGTTGTTAAGGAAGACACGAATCTAACTACAGTTGTGACATATAAACTAAAGGAGAACAAGTATAATTTTTCAAAACAGTTGAGATTGCGGTTCACAAGTGCAAATAACTCATAGTCTTAACACCCTTGATAATTTTTTGTTATTACCAGTTGTATATCTTGACGTGAAACCCTTCTCACTGTTCCACTTGACATCCCAGAGACTTTCTGCAAACCAGAGAGACCTTGTTCCTGCCAGGAAAAAGCAGTATAAGAGTATGTACATCGAGGATACAAGGCAAAACGAGTAGAATCTGAAAAATAACAAGTTGGAAACTTTTAGCAAATCATTAAGACTTAAGGAGGATTTATCTCCAACTGTCCTCAAGGTTCTTTCTTACATATCAACTTGGAGTATCCATTTCGTCAGAAACTCAAACAGAGAAACTGATAAACATATTTTCACAATAATTTTGGCCACTTCAGAAAGTAGAAACACAAACCCATAAACAGACTTTTCGCAACATGAGCTCCACAGAGCTAAACCATAAAATCATCCGAAACAAAAAACAAAATATAACATAAAAAAAAAAAAAAAAAATTCGCAAATTATTCCCCAAGCATGAGATAAAAATCAAAACTTTATCGATCCAAAACAAAACCAGAAACAGAGAAGCAGAAATACAAAATGAATGAGCAAAAGATGAGATTCACAAATAAGACGCCAAACAAATTGAGAACCCCTCGCAACACTTGGAATCGATTTCGTCTTCAAATAGAACCGGATCAAATCAAATAATCCAAGAACATCAGAAAGAACAAAAATTGATATGCAGAAACACAAATTGATGAAGAAAGGAGAGCGAGCAACCTTAAATCAGAGAAGAAGATTCGAGAGAAAAGAGGAGATGAACCTAACCTCACTTTGTTGTTGTTGTTGGTTGATCGATCGTGGATCAAATTCTTTACTTCTTTTTTCCATTTTCTTTTTCTTTGATTTACTTCTTTATATTTTAACATTCCTGCTTCGGAGCTCAGGAAGCTGACACGTGTTTGATATTTCACAATGGTGGATCCCTTACTCAGAGAGAGAGAGAGTTATCTGATCTTCTTGTTTCCACCGGTGGTCAATCTTTTTTATATTTTCCCAGTCAACTCTAATTTGTTTTAAGCCTTTTAACTGATTCGTCTTAAGCAAGATACTTAAATACATGAATGAATGAAAACATTCTCAAAACATTCATTTAGCAAACTATCATAATCCATTCTTTGTTCTAACACAATTAACAAGGGAAGATTAAGAAAAGCTTGATTGGTTTGATTTAATTTAGTCACGCTTCTTTAACCCGAACTTCCCACTTGGGATTCTACTGAGAAATCCAGAGTCTAGCTTCTTGTAATGACTATGGAACTTCATGATCAGTGAATCCATGAAACCGTCGACTTCGTCTTCGTATCTCTCATACAGAACCGGCATTGTGTGTGCCCCAACAAACCCTTCACCACAGACAAATTGAAGAACCACCTTATAAAAAAACTCTATTTCCAATCTTAACTGAGGGAGAGACACTAGTAAGAACTCTACTCACCGATATACAAAACTGTTAGGAAATTGCAGCAGCTCCCCACCATTGCGGCTACCCATAGTCCGATTACAGCCTGCAAAAATGATGTTATGTATAGATTGATTCAAGTTGTGTGAACATTACCTTAGAACCACAATAAAGTGCCTATACATAAAGCATCTCCAAGAAGATAAATACAAGATGGTTGGAAGTAAAAACGACGCACCATGAGGAACTGTTTCAAAGTCCCTTTACAAGCCACGTCCTGAAGAAACAACAAGCCACGATTGACTTCTGTTCCAATGGCCACACCCACTTCAGCAAAGAAGTCCTTGGGAAGAACAAGGCGAGGCACTCTAGATTGTGAGCTGCTTTGAGACATTAAAGGACTTGTGTTAGATTGCAATCACATTGGAAGCACGAATGTGACAACAAGACTTCAAAAACCAAAAAAAATACCGGTTTAGGAACCCTGAGGCGTTACACCAAACGAACTGGGCAATCATACCAAGCAAGAGGGCATAGCAAAGGAGAGACAGGAAATGGAAATTGATCCATTCGAAAAGCACCCAAATTGCAGTAGCTCCCATCAGAACACTTGCAGAGATCTTCTTGTTCCTCCATAGCAACACATCAGCAGCTGAACAAATCTCTCAAAGACTCAATTACAGCAAAACCAAAATAAATAAAAAAAACCAAAAAAGAAACAAATCTCAACAATTTGTATAAGGATCCTTACATTTTCCACCGCCTAAGACACGATGGATTGGCTGTTGGCGACCAAACAAACGGTTGAAACGAGAACTGACGGAATCTTCTTGTTCGAAGAAAGAAACATGTTTGTTCTTCTGAACTCTCTCCGTGAAGTTATCAACCAAATCGTCGATAACGTCCTCTACAATATTCTTCTCAGGCATGATTCTGAAACACAATTGACACCTCAGATTAGATTCTCAGTTTTTTCGAAACTCAAGCTAAAATGATCATACTCCGCATTTGAAAGTTGACTTTTTATATATATCACAAACAAAAGATCATATCTTTGTGATCATCTCTAGCTCAAGTAATCAATTTTCTTTTGCAAGTTGGTTGGTGATAATTACAATGATAGAAAACTTTAGATCTTAATGACAAGAACAACAAACCCAGAAAATAGAAGAGCAAGATGAAGAAGATGAGTAAGAGCAAAACCTGGAGGAAGTGGAGAAGAAGAAGAAGAAGAAGAAGAAGAAGAAGAAGAAGAAGCTTGTTGTTCTATGAATCTCACACAAAAAGAAGCCTTTTTTTTTCAATTTTGGTTGTGTGTAAGATTCTCAAATATGAATAACAAAAGGAAGATGAAAGGTGGAAGTGAAAAGCAAGCGATGGTATTGGTTGTGTGGAATTATTGACAATTCAATAGTTTCGGTTTTTTATTTTAAATGTGGGTAACATTTGGAGTATAATGTTTTTTTATATGTGTAGCAGATACGACTTGTCTTCCCACGTGCAGCTCATGACCCATATACAATTAAAAAAATGTTTATTTCCAAAAACATAAAAATAAAGTGGAAAAGTATTCAGAAAATAATCATTGTAATTTGCAAAAACTAAAATAAAATGGGGAAGATAATGGTAAAAATTTATCAACCGTTATAATTCTTGTGGAAGATGAATATGCTAATCAACAATTTATTTTATAATGAATTCAAACTCCCGCTAATATGGTTGTTACGTGCGTAACGCATTTAACGCATTTAGGTTTTTGAAGAAGAAAAAAACAATAAATCATGTTTAATTTTCGTAACACCTACCACCAGTCAAATTTTAAACACAGGCAAAATCATAAATTCATAACAACAGGCCAAGTGTATAGAAGCTATGTTAACAGGGTAGCCCAGCCAGGTTAACGAGAGTGAAACGTTCACCAATTGCTTTCTGAAGTGCTATATTTTGACTATTGAATGCAAATCAAATCCTAACAATGGTTTTTGTCTTTCTCCTATCACCCATTAGGCCATAGGAAGAACAAAATTCTATTTGGCCAGCGAGAGCATATGTGATCTAATCTTTTATTATAATGTCTCTTAAGCTCCCTTTGCACTTCACCAAAGTCGTATCTTTCTTGTTTGTATCTAGCTGAAGCAAATAAGCTGTGTTATATGTCGAGATTCTCCAGATTCATCCTTGTAGCAGCGCTTTTGATGAGTTCCTTCCGGACATCGACCTGAAACAGACACAGAACACAAACATTGCAGCAGCCATTTCATTGTCTATATGTTTTATAAGTCTTGAGTTTGGAAATTTATTGGCTTACCCGAGCACCCATCAGAGATGAAAAGACCATGTTCGTTTCTGCTGCGTCCTCAATAACTAGTTGCTTCAATATCCTTGTATCTGGATTCATTGTTGTTTCCCATAGCTGCGCAGGCATCATCTCACCCAAACCTGCAGATATGTAGAAAGAAAGGAACGTTACGGAATAATACTGTTACACCAACTAGAATCCAATTCTTGTGACTAATCTAGATTTCACTATTATGTACACTCAAGGGTAATCTTAAATAGCTAACCCTTAACAACTACTATAGGTTAACTTCTCATAGTTATTATCCATTCCAAATAACACATTCATGATGTGAGAACTCATAAGATCGCAAAACTAGGTTTCTCTCTGCCATCACCTTTGAACCTCTGAATGTTGTAGGATGCGTTTCCAGGGAACGAAGCGGTAATTTTTTTAAGAGCTGCATCATCGTAGCAATAGTGCGCCTGTTTCCCCCTCTCAACCTGATTATTTTCAAAGAGAATGCTTTTTGAAAAACTTTACGTAAACCTGAAGCACAAAACTGCAGAAGATTATAAATGCTAAGAGCTTACCTTGAAAAGAGGTGGAACACCAACATATATGCACCCCGCGTCAAACAAGGCTCTCTGTAGAAATTTAATTTCATTAATCTCACATAAGTCAATCAGCCATCTATGGCTACTTTAACTAATGTCTTGTCTTATTCAGTGAAACTGATACCTGATATCTGAAGAAAAAGGTCAACAGAAGAGTCCGGATATGTGCACCATCAACATCTGCATCTGTTAATATAATAATTTTATGGTAACGTAGATTCTCCTTGTTAAAATCTTCTCCCTGAAATAGATTATACGTTAAATTGGGTTTTCGGAACATACCAACATATAAGATATGAAAAAGGGTATATTACCTTGACTCCAAGACCAAGGCCAAGTATTAGGTTTTGAATTTCTTCGTTCTTATACATGGCGGCTTCATCCTTTCTCTCAATATTCAAAATTTTACCTCTCAAAGGAAGAATCGCCTGAATAGATCGAATTGTGTTACAGACTAACAAAACAGAAGCAGAAACCACTATTTATACACTCCTATATGCTTTAGCTTTCATCCAAAAGATTATGGCACAACCCATATTATGTTATGTCGACCTATTAGTGATTCTCCAAATTTGCAAGCAACACACTATCCCAAATCATCCTTATTCATCTATACTTTGGATTACATCTTTATTCTGATATTACTGACACCAAAGAATGTTGATACTAATCAGAAGCCCAATCAATTTCCTTTTGATGGTGAAGAGAGAACTCTTAGACTCTTACTGTTTCGAACTAAAAACAAGCCAACCAGAATTTTTTCAGCATTAAACTTTTCACGTTTTTACCACGGAAAGCTGGGACGGCTCAACTTAGACATGGGGAGAAAATTCACAATCTCAAGCATCAGGTCAGGCACCTTGCAGATGAATGATATTTGCTTGGATATCAGTTATAGCTAAGGATAGGAAAAATCCCTTTCTACCCCCTCCCTAATTCTTGTTTAGTGACACACTGAGTAGAATTATTTACATTACCTGGAAACGCCTGTCACGACCCTGTTTCGCGCTGCCACCAGCAGAATCTCCTTCGACAATGAAAATCTCTGGTAGCATAGGAAATATATGTCAATACACTGACTCACTCTCACAGCTTATAAATGTTAAAAGCTATTAACCAGTATATAATATATATATATATATATATATATATATATATATATATATATATATATATATAACGACAACCTCTTGTTTCCTTTCTCATATTTCCACTTTGGGTCTAAGAAGATCAAATTTCCCAATTTGTAAGCTGTATTGTATTGTCCATATACTTCATAATTTAAATTCATCAGACTGAAATGTTCTGATTTCCAAAGAAAAGGCACTCTCATACTGGCTAATGCATACCAGATTCAGCAGGATCTGTAGATGAGCAATCTGCAAGTTTCCCAGGAAGTGAGGATGATTTCAAAACGCTTTTTGATCTCACCAACTCCCTAGCCCGCTTGGCAGCCAGAGCAGCCTATAAGAAAAAGAGCCAACAAGGAAACTTAATGCTCACTTGGTTGAAATTAGTAACTAGACACACTGAAGGAGACACATCGTCAATCAGAGAATACACTAATCACAAATGTCAGCAAGTTTTCTCAAAGGATAAAACCCATATTTGAGTCTTTGAGTAGCATGTGTGTAAGTGAAGAAGTGAAAAGTATGAGCAGGTATTTCATTGTCGCACCTTGTACGCATTCAAGGATTTGGAAATAATGTTTTCAAGTACATCCGGATGCAATTCCAAGTACTCTGTGAGGTACTCCTGGACTGATTGGTCAACAATTTTTCTCACCTCTGGATTTCCTAGTCTTGTCTTTGGGACACAAAAATTTAATATGAGCAACAGAATCCAAGAAAAGTTAGGGCCTGCTGGACCAGCAGAGTTTGTTGCCAAAGAAGAGGGAGAGCATATCATTATACTTTTAAGTACCTTTGTTTGACCTTCAAACTCAGGATTAGGAACCTTGACAGAGACAATGCAGGTCAATCCCTCCCTAACATGTTCCCCACTTAAGCTAATATCCTTTTCCTGAAAACAGAACCAACAGAAATAAGTTACACCATCAGTTAGCAACATTGTCTGAACTGGTCAAGATAAATCTTAAATGTATGCAAATGCAACCTCTATAACTGGTAAATTTCACAGTTCAATCATGGAAAGTACATTATTCATTGACTGTAAAGCACTAAAGCATGTCCATTAAGTGCAGATGTACAAGTATAGTCTCAGTCCATGGGAAACCACCACTCAGAAGACTCTTTCAGCCATAATAATGACCAACAAACAGCTACAAGCATTCGCAGTTTTCATGAAAAAGGAGAGAAAGTTAAGGAGAAAAAGGCTGTAAACCTCTAAGAGTGGAAATATAACAAGTTGCAAAAATGCAGTTGGTAAATGGTATCACACCTTAATAACCTTCAATTTTTTTGCAAGGGAATTTAGAGTTCTTGTTAATGAAGCCTTCACACCTTCTATATGTGTCCCACCATCAACGGTCCGAATGCTATTCGCGTATCCCAGCATCGTGTCAGAATAGGCATCTGAGCACCTGGTACAATAACGACATTATACATCTACATCATATAAATTTTGGATAGCTACCATGATAAAGGCATTCTCGTCAAGAATAACTGCAGGATATACAGAAATCAACTCAGTACAACATTTTTCTATCCAGTTTAAATAGAGCACATTAAAATCTGACTCAGTCAGCCTAAATGCTTAAGTATGTGGTTTTTGGTAAATACAATTATAATCTGTTCATCATACAAGCAGATATTAAAAGACGTATGTAGAAGAAAAAGTAAAATACCACTGAAGTGCAACATCAACGGTAGCACCATTTATCTCTTTCCGGAAACCCAGCACATCATGAAGCGGTTTCTAAACAAAAAAGCTGTTAATGAACTTTTTCAGGAGGACAAGGATGACCTAATAGTCTAATACCATAGATCTAGATGCATAAGACCTAACTTAATAAGGATTAAGTCGACACAGGTCTCATACTCATGCTAAATAGAGCCCTAAAGAATAAAGAAGAGGTCAACATATCTTACCACCAAGTAAGCTGAGAAAAAAAAAACCTGAGAATTAAAAATATGGTACCATCCCTGTTGCATTTTCTTTCAGAAAGCCCATTTCAATTTATGTTGCCACAATTTAAATCTAGCATCACCAGTTGGCAAATATTTGAGACTTTATACAACTAAACAACGGATACACAATACAAGCCTCACCTTATCAGTATTTAACCAGCTAACATATTCAGTTAACCCTCCAGCATAGATATATTCACTATACAAGTCCCTTTCTGGATCATCATCCTCCTTTTTTAGAGAGATTGTAACCTGCATTCAATATGGACATCTAGATTATGACGAAAGAACTGTAGAACATTAGCTTCTGCTAAATAAGAACTGATAAACGAGCATGTTAAAAATGGTTCATAAATATGAAGCACATAAATCAAATATATACGTTTTAATTA